CGTACAATCAACCTTTATCATTTGTTCAAAACCTGACGGATAAAAACCATGCACCGCTGTAAATGTTAATACCGTGTCAGGGATCAGTTGGTATTTCATTTAATTTTATTCTTAAATAAATTTTCTTGAATTGATCTGCGTTCTATCATACTGTTGTAATTTTAACTTTCTCTTGCTTTTAATCTAAAAAAATATGATCGTGGTTAAAAACGATATCTTTTGTTCAATTTAACTTTATAGAGAAAATGAAACATTATCTGGCAAATGTCGGTTAAAATTGTGTCAAAGTTTGCACTTAAGAAAGAAACATATCAATTTACAAAAATAAATAGAAAGAGCGATTTAAATTTCACGCAAGGTCAAATTTTTATTGTTTTAAATAATTTGTAAAAATCGTGTCAACGTAGTTTTTATCCATTGTTTTTAGTCGTTCAATTACAAACAATTTCTAACTAATAACCGTTTTGTATTTCTTTTTCAATTTGGCATATTTATAAATAATTACGCTTTGATTATGAATGTTAAAATAAAAAGAAAATAATATATTCATGAAAGTTTTTTTCATATTTAAACACAAGGATAATGTCAAAAGATAAAGAATTTGGTAGAGATACAGAATTTCATGACATTGGAATAATTGGAGAAACTATTGCAGACGATCTTCCAAATGGCGGGTTATGGAGCGAAGGATCGGATTTGCACCAAAATGAAATATCAATTAACATAATCGATGAGACTGGAAGTAATCTCCATCACGAAGAAATACAATTATGTGTATCTGGTGTACAGAATAAACGTGCCAGTCTTGAAATAGATGAAGCCGAATTGAAAAACGAAACAGATGAATATGATATTGTGGCCCCGAGCAGCGTAAATGGAAAGGCAAGGGAAAAAGACTTCTATAGGCAAAATAGTGCCAGTTTAAACTTACATGAACCAAAATGTCAATATATCTCAGATAATGAAATAACTTTGGCAACAGATAGCGAGGATATAGAGGTAGAAGAAACAGAATTTCGAAAGGAAATCATAACACATAAGAAAAGAGCTGTAAAATCACCTGGTGGCAATCATGACGAAATCCATTTCATAGAATCTATTCCTATAAAAGAAAACGAATTAGAGGTTTCAACTGTTCGACATACAAATGGATATGTTAGTGATTCAGGTTTAAATAAAACTGATATAAGTAACACTGATAATGATACCATGTGGTCCAAATTCATGCAGAAAGTAAGTATATATGGTTTTAAGTAAGTTCTTTATTATGGAATGAAATTACATGTATGAAATTGATGAAACAAGTTCATAGTTACAAAATATAAGAATTAATTTTTAAATTAATATTCATTTTCTATGAAATTGCTCTTATTCCGTAGCCTTGTTTGACTCAGTTTAGTGTAACTTTTGATTTAAGTTTTAAGGTACATCATAATGTTATAAGGTAACATAGAGATTTTAGACATTTCTATTTCTATCGCTTTTCCGGTCATGTAGTTAATATTCATTAGATTTCAAAAATTAATCCGAATTAAAAATTAACCTTTTAAACTTGGTATTAACTTATGAAAAGAATATAGCTCAGAAAATTCATTTTGATGTGCCTGTATAATACGGGTTATGTGTTGTGTATGTAAACTAGAACAGGCCATATTGGCAAGTTCACATGTATAGTTTAATGAACTGTTATCAAATTTAAAATGTGTTTGAATCAGTAACTCCATTTGATTTTTTTTCTGTTTTGCTACAGTTCAAGTCTGTCGGCCAAGAATCAAAATATAAGGTAGATGAGAATGTTCCATCGACACCTGACGAAACAAAATCACCTATCACATGGAAGAAGAAAGTAGTATATACATTGTTGTTTGTTGGTGTTGCCATGTTGACAGTCATTCTGATCGTCATTGCTGTGTCAACTTCCAGTAAAAATGATAATACTGAATCAGGTTGGTATATTATTGCAATAAACGTAATTATAGAGTTTGAAAATTGAATTTAGTTTTATGGCTTTGTTTGACAAATGAATGTGTTTTTAAAATAGAGACAAAGTAGTCCAGTAAAAATCAGGATCCTATATCTGTCCGTAAGCTTACCAAATATTAGAGCATATTTTTCTTTTTAGTTTTTTTTTTCTCAAAACATTATTTGCATGGGTCCCTAAAAAACTTTCAATTTGGATAATGTTTTTATCGTTGAGAATGCATACCATCTATTATTTTAAAAGAAATACATAAATTTAGGGTTTTTCAGCTTTGTCATTAAACCTTTGACATTTTCATCCCATATCATAGATTGAAACCATAAACTACTCATTGAGGTCCTCATTGACATATTGGGCGTATGAAATTTGCGCCAAATTTGAAAATACCACTTTTTTCATTTGCGCCAAAACAAAGTTTTATTTGCGTCAATTTTTCATTTTCATTTGCGCCAATTTCATTTAAACAAGCAATGCACAACGTTTTAGTGAATGTTTCCCTTCGTCGATTTCGAGGAGAAGTCAAGTAAAACTGGGAGAAGGAGATCTCAATTTTGTATCCTGCAATTTCTTTCCGCAGATGAAGTAGGTAATTACTTTGCATAAAGTCTTAGGCACAAACTGATGAAAAGTGTGTTGAGTTTGCAGATGAGGTTCTAAATACGTACGTGTCTTCTGTTTCGCGTTATGTTTTGTCCAACTTATTGTCTCATGATTTGTGTTTACCCGTAAATTGGTGGAAATGAAAAAAATAGTGGCGCAGATAAATAAAAAAAAAATGGCGGAAATAAAAAAAAATTGGCGCAAATGAAGTGCATATTGGCGCATATGCAAAACGCCGGATATGTTTTATTTTTACAATTTGTACCTCTCGCACAGAATAACGGAAAACGTTTCCGGGAGCGTTGTATCCCTCGGAGGGAGAAACTAGAACAAAATGTATCCCGGGGAACTCTCGGAGGAATCGTCACTCATTCCGGATAATATCTCTACAGTTTTTTTCGCTTACTATTGTTTTTCGCCAATTTATGAAAGCAAATTAGATAATAGAAAGAATAGACTCCAAATATGACAATATCATATTTTTTTATTTCAGAATCGAAAACACAAACGACTGCATACGGTTAGTTCATTTAGCTAATATATATATTGATGATAATAGCCTTTTCGTCTTATGATATTAAATTCTAGTAGAACCTGCTATCTACAAAGGTTTACTGACGGAGGGTTGGAATTGTTGAGTATTTTCAAATACTTTTCATTGGTAATAACTAAAAAGAAAAGAAAATAGATAGGACTTTGAAAAGAAAGTATGAAACAAAGTTGAAATTAGAATAGTTACAATATACAATAATTTTCATTTTTTTACAATAATTTTACTTTTGGCATAATACATATAGTATACATATTTGTTAATACGCTACATATACTTACTTTATGTATGTTCTACAGTTCATGCTTTGATTGACCTGACAGTAAACGCTAGCTATATACCAGATTTGAGTAACAGTATGTCATACAGATATAAACGTTTTGCCTCTGACTTTTGTGCTGAGGTATGTATTATATTAAATAAGGTATAATACTTGAAAATTCTTAATACGAAATATTATTATTTATCCAAATTGCATTGTAAATCAATATTTCATCGGTCCATCCGCTATTACATTATAAATCACACATAAACGACAAAACTGTGTTCAAAAAAACAATTTACCAAAGTCCATGGAAAATTTGTTTATTTCAAATTGGCGGAAATCAACAGTAACTTTAAAGCGTTTCAAAGAGGCAAGTTTATTCAATTTTACAGATTTAAATCTTTATTATTATCAACTGCGTTATCGATTCGTTCATTCTAGTTATAAAACAAACATTCAAGAAAGTACATATATAACATGAACAAACAAAAGTTAACAAAATAATAGGATATTCGTACATATAATTTGGGAGTGTATGATATTGATTCCTGAATTGTTCATTACATATTAATACAATTTTATGAATACTACTTTTACATGAGCTGTTCAAAAACATTTGTGATGCTTTGCAAAGTTCAAGAACCTTTAGCCAACAAACTCATATAAAGGGGAAAACTTATGTAATAACCTGCTGGCATAATAATATGCTTTTTCTTATTAACCTTCAGTTTTGATTCTTTTCAGTAATATTGTCAAACAAAAATAATCTATTTTAGTAGCTATGACTTTGACCTTGACCTTCCTCTTTTCCCCGAATGTGACCTACCGAATTAGACTTATCATCGGGGTTGTACTCCCATGAACAACACGACGGTTGCCACAAGTAGAGCAGGATGTACGTGCCCTTCCAGAGCACATAAGATCGGTCCCAGTGTTTGGTGGCCGGGGTTCGTGATGCTCAGTCGTTATTTTTCTATGTTATGTTTGTACTGTTTGTCTTTTTCTTTCTTAGCCATGGCGTTGTCAGTTTGTTTTCGACTTATGAGTTTGAATGTCCCTTTGGCATCTTTCGCCTCTCTCTTACACGAAGAGACCTCAAAACAAACAGAGATCTTTCTCTCATCATATGCGACCATATATCCAAGTAAAGTTGTTCTGATTTAGTATCCGGAAACGATTTTCCTGCACAAATGTCGATCTATTTTAAGTAACCTCGACCTTGACCTATGACGTAGTGACTGCAAACAGGGTTCTTCATCTCATTATATATGTGACTATATATCCAAGTTAGGTTGCAATCCCAAATATATTATTTGATTTAGCAAGCGAGAACTGCTTTTCTGTGCAAAGTTGCGGTCTATTTTAGTTACTAAAACCTTGATCCTAGACGTAATGACCTAAAAGAATAATACAAAATGTCTGATTGAGCATCCGAAAACCAAAGCGACTGACGGAAAGACGGGTCAACTACTATATACGCATAGTAACGTGTAGTATACTTGTGCTAATATTTCCATTACCAATTCGCGATTGCAAAGAGTTTTTGAAATAGAATTATCTATGTTTTCACAAAATAAGAGAAAGATTGTACCAAAGATGGTCAAATGCAGAAGATGTACTTTCAGATTGATAGAGTGCTAAATAATAATACTGGTGGCTTTGGTGATGATTATATTGGTTGCATCGTACTAGCTCTAAAGTAAGTATCATAAAATTGAGAATGGAAATGGGAATGTGTCAAAAAGACAACAACCCGACCATAGAGCAGACAACAGTTTATATTATTCTTTTTTTTTTAATATCTGATAAATTTAGTATGAGGTAATACATTTGCTATTGCTTTAGTTTAGAGAAATATCTTCTTTTTTTAGATTTAGATGTGACATAACAGGACAACGGAATTTTTAAAGTTTGTCCCTTCGTTGTCCTTCAAATCGTACATTGACAAGCTACCCGAGCATTTCCTTTCAAACTTAAAGTTATCATAGACTTTGGTAAGAAGTGAAAAAGAGCAATTTTGAAAAAAGATACTGCTAATCAAAAATTGCACTACATATTACAATAAAATTATCTTAAAATATAAGTAAATTGATCGACTTATCTGAATAAGGGACGACATCAAAAGATCAATGTAGGATAAAAAACTTAAATCAAATAGTTTGGGGGTGGGGGGTTAAAATTGCTTCAAGTTTTGTTTATCCAAAATCGATTTTACATATATCCATATTGGTCAATCAATTTTTCCCAAATTAAGTTAAGAGGGGGGGTGGGGTCAGTGAAAAAACTATGTGAATTAAGTTTTTTATCCTACATTGAACTTTTGATGTCGTCCCTAAAATTGTTTATTTTCAATACGATTTTGTTTATTACAGTCCAGGAAGTATCAAAGTATCATGTACTGTGTATTGTGTAGACATACCAGAGTCATACATGTTAAATCAATCTGTAAAATATATCAAGGATGATATACTTAGAAGTGGGAATCAAATGCTAGGGGGATTTCAGATTTTATTGGGCAGTTTTGAAATCGTTCAAGTGTCAACTATACATTTACAAGAACCACCAGAACTTCAGAAACTATTTACATCAACTACCAACTCAAAGGTTACAACAACAGCCCACACAACAGCTGATAAATTGTCTACCTTTACGTCAAAGCTTGTAACATCGCAAAACGTAAACATAAGCTCTTTACCAGATATAAGTACCACATCACTTGCTGTCACAACCCCATCAAATGACACATCATCCCAAATGTCTTCCATTACTTCTAAAATTACATATCCCACTGAGGAAACAAATAGAACAATGACAACAACTATTGAAAGTTTTGTGACGCCAGCACAATCAACCAGTGTCCGGTCAAGTTCGACGCCTAATGAATCGTCAGAAAACGTCCAACCAACGGTTTCCAGTATAACATCTACGACAGTAGGTGCAAATGTTGTTTCTAACGATACAACAGCACCTGAAAAAGATATGACCACAGCGGAGGAAATAACAACACAAGCAGGTGTTTCAAATGTTACATCAGATGGCACAATTCCGGCTCAAACAACAGAACCATCCTTACAAGGTATTTCTATTAGAATTAAATCCTTACATCTTAACGTTATGTATTTACACTTAAAGCCACATTTGAAGGCCAGGGATTTATAAATATTTTAGTAGCTGTATGGCCACATCTGACCCAAAAAGGATAGTTAAAACAAACTTAGGTCTATTAAGTTGAAGGATAAGCAACCTAAGTTTCCTAATAATTTATAAATTTAAGAAATATTTGTTAAAACCATGTCAGTAGTGAAGCAGTAACTACTAGCATTAGCGTAGAACCAGTGTAGCATTGTAAGCATGTGCTTGCAAATAATTTTATAAAACTTTTTTTTTTCAATAGGAATTTTACTATAATCGTTCAGCTTACGGGGTGCAAAACGAACTAAAAACCGGAGATGAATGCTCGTGTCTGCTCCACTAGCGACAGTCGGCGTGCTGCTCCTGTTAAATATGTACATTGGTCCTTTCAAGTGATCACCAATCATACAATAGAAGATTGGTGAATGTATCTAGCTTACTCAAGGACTTATTCAAGTTTATAAACAATCATTACATCTAAATTCCCCCCTTAATTGTGACCGAATAAGATTTTAGATGAAGCCACAGTATTTTTACTGTTGAAGATATCAACTGTAATATTGTTTCAATAAAGGAGAGCATGCTTTCTTGTTCCATGATCTTTTATCATGGTACTTAAAATTTAAAGTATTTTAACCTTATCAAAACTTACAATGTAACCTTAATTTAAATATTTTCATTTGATTGATTTAGTAAACGGTAACTGGGGAAGCTGGTCTTTCTGGGCTGGGTGTGCAGAAACATGTGGTGCATCTCTTCGACAGAGAACTAGACTGTGTAATGATCCAAACCCAATAAATGGTGGAAAACCATGCCAAGGAAATAGTACTGAATATAAATCATGCGTTCTTGAAAACTGTCCAGGTACTTTATGTTTAAACTTTTTTCTCACTCACAATTGAGCGCATTTGAAGAGATTGAATTCAGACAGAATTCTCACACAAACTTCATATAGATATAAGAAGATTTGGTATGAGTGCCAATGAGACAACTCTCCATCCAAATTACAATTTGTAAAAGTAAACCATTATAGGTCAAAGTACGGCCTTCAATACGGAGCCTTGGCTCACACCGAACAGCAAGCTATAAACATTATAAAGGACCCCAAAAATGACTAGTGTAAAACCATTCAAACGGGAAAACCAACGGTCTAATATAACGAGAAACGAGAAACACTTATGAACCACATTAACAAACGACAACTACTGAACATCAGATTCCTAGTACATTATGATTTGTCAAAAGTTGATGAAGTATAATTCAACTTTTAGCTTGGTCATTTCTACTACTTTATAGCTATTATTTATGTTAAAGAGTTATTGCACTTGATTAATAAAATAGTAAATCGACAAATAATTTTAAAATATTTTTCTTATCTTTGTTGTTATAGCTAGTCTAAAGTAACAAGTACGTATTATCCTTAAAAAAGTCTAGATTGTTTTTCCTTCTGTTACTATTCAGGAAAGGCTTCTCGAATATTTTATCAATTAAAGATTGTGTGATTTAAGCATAATTATAATTTGCTAGATAATATTCTCCATTCTCGTTTCAATTTCCTACTTCGATCACATTTTACTTTAAAGTTGATGGTATGTGGACACAATGGTCTCCATGGAGTGCATGCAATGTTACATGTGGCGGAGGACTAAAATATAAACAAAGAACATGTACAAATCCAGCACCAAAATTTGGAGGAGAGAAATGTGCTGGGGAAGAAACTATGTTTGATTCATGCAGTGAAATGTCATGTCCAAGTAAGACTTCATTAGAAGACTGCAATTGCAATACGACTTATCTATTCGAGTGTGTTTAATGTACGATTTAGTTAGGTTTAATCATGTTAATAGTTTTTACGGTTGACCATGGAATCATTATAATATTTATTTGATACTTATGAAAAGAGTAACAATTGTAAAGGCACGTCAAATTTAGGCAATTTTCGAACCGATACAAAAGATTTCCTGATGATCATGATTTGCCCGTTTATTGTTATGTTTAAATTAGCTCAGAAAGATTAAATATTTCAACTTACACATATTAAGCAAACTCATATTCTATATAAAAAATCAACAATCCAATAATTTAACCAAATCTGTTTATGAAATTTAAGGAGAAGACAAACAACTTTACAGTTACTTGCATAATTTTTGAACTTCAAATAGTAATAATTTCATCGTTAACTGTGCAAAAATGGATTAATTGTTTAATTATTTGCATTTGAAATAAAATGCTTTTCGAAGACACATATATTTGCATGGTTACATTTTTTTGAAATGTATGATGCACTAACACTGAGTTATATAACTTTCATTATTTTTTTCAAATAAAAGCAAATAAATAAGTTATCAAAATGAAAACATATTTTTCAAGTCGATGGAATGTGGTCACAATGGAGTTTGTGGTCCTCATGTGATGTCACTTGTGGTAATGGAAGTATGCTTCGATCAAGAAGTTGTTCACCTCTTCAATTTGAAGGAAAAGACTGTGAAGGAAATACAACTGATATTGGATTGTGTGAAAACCCACCATGTCCTAGTAAGTATCAAATTTGACTTATAATTTTGTTTTCAAAAAACATTGGTAGAAAAGAACAATAAGAATCTTTTTTTATATTTTTATATATGCGTTTAACGAATTTGGAGTTATTCAGTGAGAGCAATATATATATTGGACACTTCAAGCCTCTTTTTTCTCTTAGGGAATCAACTGTATAAAGTCTCCCTCATACGTATAAAGTTGACGAGGAGAGTTGTATAGTTGAATACTAATCCTTACTTTCCGTTTAGAGTTCTTGAGGGGAGGGGGTTCTTTTCTTTTTTTAAATATGCGTATTTGTATCTCTGCTTAATTTTAAACATGCTACTACACATGTACTTATTCTACGGTAAACTTAATATGTCGAAGGTGTCTTGATTATTGATGTTAATAAATATATGTTTTAAAAATTATGAACAAAGTTTATATGAGCTTTTTTTTGTGTTTTATGCCTTTTATTTAAAAATCTATTAACAGTCAATGGTAATTGGTCTACTTGGTTGACATGGGGAGAATGCAGTTTAACTTGTGGAGATGGTGGTATTCGACAACGAAATAGAACGTGTAGTGATCCAGTTCCTCTGTTTGGTGGTAATGAATGCGACGGGGACGGTACAACTATTGGTCCATGTCAAGACAATCCATGCCCTAGTAAATATATTTATAGATCACTTTTTTATCATTTTATTTTTTTTTTTACTTTTTCAATTTACCTGAATCAATTTATATATAGTTCTCACGCTGGCTATACACCGTATAGGTAGATGAAAAGAAACCAAACTATAACAGTCAAATTATTATTGAACACCAATCGTTTAAACGCTTAAAATGTTCTTTTTTGAATTAAATCAAGTATGTTTTGTTGATGTTGGATCTTCTGTTCTTACAAATTTGAAAGCAAAACATTTCTGTTTGATTCACTGGTTATAGTAACATTTGATGTATATTATTTCTAGTACAGGGAGGCTGGGGCGATTGGACTCCATGGGAGAAATGTAGTAAGACATGTGGAAGTGGAACAAAAAGCAGATCACGAGACTGTAGCGATCCTCTTCCTCAACACGGAGGCAACTTCTGCGACGGATTTCCAAAGGAGTATACAGGATGTGAAGAGGAGAAATGTAAAGGTACTTCCAATGTATACTACAAACGGTTAATGAAAAGTGTAATTTGGTTAACAGTACATTTTGGAAACAAGAGTGTGTTTGAAAACTTCTTATTATAAAGTGCAATGAGAACAAAAATTATTATTATGAACCTACAGATGTTTGTTTCCTCAGAAAGATTAAAATTTTATCATGTCTGTTACATTATTTCTTTTCGTCATCGCTATATATATATATATATATATATATACTCTAGTATATGAATACCAGACGGTAAGATTTAGAATTTGGTCTTGCAATATATGTTTTTTTTTTGTTTCAAGCTCTTTTATTAACAATTTATTCATAGAAATCATGGGACATTATATGGGCAAATTAACAATTCACATCATGTATTCACATTTTTCACAAATGAAAATTACTTTTGTACATCAGTTAATAAAAACATCTAGCTACTTTTGTGTTTAAATCTAGTTTTAGGATATTGGTCTCCATGGGGTACTTGGGACGTTTGTAGCGTGACGTGTGGTGAAGGAGTCAGTTTTAAACGGAGAATCTGCTTTGGCCAAAGTGTTAATGATGATGAACAGGTTATATGTATAGGAGATGAAAGCGAAAATAAAACTTGCCAGGAAGATCCTTGCCCAGGTATATTAACCATCTTTCACAAACAAGTGCGGGTCAATTAGTGCAGCATGAATAAAGATATATTCTCAGTTTCATACTTCGCAATGATATAAAAAAAAATACGTAGATGTTGTATTAATGAAAATGAGACAACTGTCAAAAAAACTATAAACTGTGAATTTCTACACACCCACATCTCCCCATATAAACTTGGATTATTTGTAAAGACACACAGCTCAAATAGTATATATATATATATATATAAAGACAACACTTGTCTCTTGACTGTATACAACTGGTTCATGAGACAAATGGTAAGTTTTGAAATATTAAGAGACTCAACCCTCTACAAAATTGTATCATGGGAGTATCAACAAAGCAAAGTAAGAAACTGTCAAAAGCTGAAACTAGTTAAATAACAAGAGACAAGGCGTGCTGGAATCTTAATCAAGATCGCAGTTTAAATGATAGATATATCACGTTTGCATGGGATATCAATCGCTACAAACACCAAAAGCATAAGAATATCGCTTTAAATGACGTTCTTTGTCTCCTAAATATTTTCCCTGATGAAGACACTAATGAAGACACTAAATATCTTCCACAATATATTCTAGATTGATTGATTGATTATTGATTGTTGTTTGCTAAACGTCCAGTGGCAAATATTTTATACATGTTCAGGACGAGAACAAAATAACAATAAATACAATAGGTCGGTCCTGTAATAGAGGTCAAACAGAATGAACCACATGCCACATAGGTACCACTCAAACAGTATTTTTGTAATTGTTCTTAACGTACAGAAAACGTACCACTATCTCTACACGAGGCATATGATTTGACGTTCCCATTCTGACCGGACTTTGCTGCGTATTTATACATCTCGCACAACCAAACGTCCCCCCCTCAACACCACTTTGGCAGGGTTTTACTGTCTGTCTGAAGAAGAAGTGACCATATTCCTAATTTATTTTATGGATTACTGAAAAATTTGACTTATAACCGAATTTGTATTTGTCTTGGACCAACACGACGGATTCCACTATTGACGCAGGTTCTGCATTCGTTACTGTATAACAGCCAAGTTTTTCGTAGGGTTCTTATTGTTCAGTCTACTTTTCTGTATGGTGCTTTGTAGACTGTCATTTCGGTTTTTGTGTATCCTCTTTTTCCATAGTTTTGTCGTTTTTTCTTCTGCTTATGATTATAAATGGTTTCATTGGTATCTTCCTTCTCCCCTCCCCCTTTTTTTATTTAGGGGGTGTTTGAAACTACCACATTCGAACAGGAAAAAATTTACGCCATAGCCAAACTTCCAAAAATTATCGTGATTTTTGCGAAGGACTATAAACATGATAAAAGGGTTTTAAAAAATGTTATAACGAGATTATTGACGTGATCAATTGCAAGTTCTTGTTTGTACTATAAAGCACCTAAATGTGTTCATGTTAAACTTCCTTGAGATTGGTGTATTATTTATCAATTATTTGTTTCAATACGAACATTGATTTCTAAAACAAACCTCAGCGTTGAATATACATATGAACTGAGAAATAGAATCACTGCAAGATGTGACAAAACGTCAGTACCATTTTCAGAACTTTAATTTCAAAATAGATAACAAAAATATTTGAATACAGAAAAGGATAACTTTTGTTCTTTGTCTTCGACTTATTTGAAGTTATACCATATAAAAGTCTGGATTAATAAAAGCAAAATTATCATCAAGATAGTTGGTAGAATGTAAAGCACAAATCGGTAAGTAAAGTTCACACATTTTGTTCTAGTTGATGGTGGTTGGTCAAACTGGAATGAATGGGATAAGTGCAGTCTACCTTGCGGAGGAGGAATTCAAACAAGAAATCGTAGTTGTAATGATCCGCTCCCACAGCACGGGGGAGAGCTTTGTGACGGTAACGAAAATGAACATCTGCAGTGCAATAACCACAACTGTCCAGGTAAATGAGTTTGACTCTTTAATGACATATTCATTATTTTGTAGGAGAATAGTAATAAAAATATCTGATAGACTCCATCTCGTTATTTTCAGAAATATTACAAGTATAAGTTCTCGAGCATGTTTTCGAGCTGCAGTTTGTGAACAATGTGATATTTCTATAGATTAAACCAGGAAATTACTCTATTATTTTTAAAAAGAAAACTAACGATTGAATGTTGAAACAAAGTATGATTTCATAACCCTTATAAATGCTTTGAAAGAAATATGGTCCCGTACTAGTTTTCTTGTTGCTAACAAAATTAATAATTTTACAGACGTTCTTATGAAAATAAGCCATCCGCGATACCTCTTCTTTTACAGCTATTAAGTTTTAAATTTCGGAATCAAATATCTTTATTCGTCATAAAAGTGTACAACATGCATCATAAGACATAATCAAATAAATTTTCGAATTTGAATGATGTCCCACAACGAAATTGCATTCCTGCATCAAAATATACAAATTTTGGTAAAAAAAATTGATGGATCACTTTCGGTGATAACCGTCCAAAAATGATGCGTACTCCCATATAACTTCCTCCTATGTCACATTGTCGTCCACTGAACATTTATATAACGTCACTATTTACTAAATTACATAATACTTAAAAGTCATTTTCACATGTTGAATTAATTTTATTTTAATAGAATGATCTATGATCAGTTGAGATTACCTCGTTATTGCGAAATTCATTTGACTAGTGAACATGTGCGACTCAAAATCATGGTAGCCATCATACGTTTGTAGTCCATTGAATAGTAGATCTACCCAAAAGATGCAAGAAGACATACGTCATAGCATACTCCGTTGTCATGCTGCATAGAACATAATTTTGGTTACCCCATTTAGTGTAATAGATTACACAGTTATTTCTTTAATCCTTTGTAATAAAAACTACATAACTATAATGCCATTTTCAATTAAAAAAAAGACTGAGATTGTCTCATTGACCAAATATTTTACATGTTTTACAGGTGGCAGTTGTACAGACGCAACAGCATATTTATACGACGATACAATTAGTATAGCATGTATCATCACTGGAATGTTGAATCCTATGTCAATTATTATTACGAGAAACGGACAAAACATAGCAGGAATCAACGAAAACAGAGAAGTCCAATATCTACTATCATCAACTGATTTTAGTATAGTTATTAAACAGGCCGAAAATATAACTTTATCCTTGTTGTTTGAAAATGTCACATGTGAAGACGATGGCTTTTATGTAGTGCATGTAAACAGTACAGCCTTTTATGGGGTCAATATCACTGGATCTCTTTTGATTATAGGTAAGGACATAGTTTTATGTAATTTCACAAAAAAACGATAAGACTATATAAATTGTAAAAATTCATTTCTCAACTTCTTTAGAATAAAACCTTTAATAAAGTAAAATTGACAACTTTTATTTGAATTTTTTGATTATTTTTTTAATTTCTTTGAAAATTTATACTATTAAAGTATAGTTTAGAATTACAATTGCCATATCATTTAATTTATGTCAGTTAGGTGGGGGTGTTTAAAGCCCCACAAAGCAATAGAAGCTCTTAGTCGTACGGATACTGTTTCTGATAGTAATTATTTTTACCATTTGAAGACTGTAAAAAACTTACAGCAAGAAAGTTCAGTAAAAATACATGTTCCGTGTATCGTACGATTAAAAGATTTGTTTTTGTTTTGCATAGACAAACCAACCGTTCCTGTATTCTATGTGAATCCTAATCAGTTTGCCAGACTATCATATAGACAATCTGACTTTGAACATCAATGTTCCGGAAATATTGGGAAACCAACTGGAGAACTAACAATAGAAATGAAACTGAATAACTCGGAGTTTTCAAGAGTTCCACCTACGGATCTAGTTGTTGTACAGAATTCTCGTTATACAAAAGGATGCAGTAATTTTCAGATGTTGAGATTTACTATGAATTTTACATCATATATGAATGAAGCAGTTATGAGATGTCGCGTGCAAAACGACTTCATTCTTGGAGGGGAAATAATTGGTTCGGAAGTAGATTTATCAACTTTCCCAAGTAAGTACATTTTATGTATGGACACTTCATCTTTTCAAAAAAGGCTGAGCAAATGTTGAAAAGCTCCGATTCTTTTTCCGGCTTTGGCTATACTTTTTTGTCCTTTTTGATTTATAGCTCTTCATCTTTTTAATAAGCTTTGGATATTAAAATATTTTGGCTTCGAGCATCACTGAAAAAATATTGATTGTCGAAATGCGCATCTGATGCAGAAAAATTGGTACCGTTTATGTTATTGAAAACGGTCTTTGTGTGTCAGTTCTATGATTAAAAACTGTTCAGTCAATAACTTTACAGTTATTACAAATAATACCGAATAATTTTTAAAATAAAAAGCAAACACAAAAAAATGTATGAATGTTATTGATTTTTTTCGTAATTTTAAATCAATCTGATAATGGTGCCTTCATCATTTCACACTATTTAAGCTAGTAACTGTATCGTATGAATTACGTATGTCTATTATGTTTATGGTATTTAAAAAAAACTAATCCGAAACTAAATGATATTGTAGCCTTTTATTTCCGAGAAAAAAATGAATCGGTCTTATTTTTTGAAAAGTTAGCATATAATGAGTGTGTTGATTGCATTGACGAAAGTAATTTTAAATTGTAATTTCAGAAGACAAATGTACTGATGTTTCTGTCCATATACAACACGAAGCAACGATGACATGCACTTTAAACAGAACAAAAGAATATGAAGAGATAATGATTGTCAAAATCAAAGATAGTGTCAACATAAATATATCAAGGATTAGTAAAACCGGAAATATAGCATACCTCCAAGACTATTTAAACATAAAAATACATGTTATTACGAATTCTGTTATTTCTATTGATTTTTTAAACACCACTTGTGATGATGAAGGAGACTATATGTTGATTATAAGTAATGGAACAACGGTTACAGCCACGGTGACAGGATCATTGCAGCCGATAAGTGAGTCGTTTAATGTTATTGTTCGGATCCATAGACAAACAAAATGTGTTTAAATTGATGTCTAAATCGTACTTGTGGCTCGTGTCCCTTAAATACAATAGGCCCTTTTGTTTTTGTTTTTGTTTTTTTTTTCTTTCATAAATAAGGTTAGGAGTTCACATATCAGCAAAAGTCAATAAATCAAGTTAAGCCGCACCTAGGGGCATTATGTGGGTCGGTCTGTGCGTCCGTTCGTCCGTCCGTCTGTGCCGCTTCAGGTTAAAGTTTTTCAGGTTAAAGTTTTTGGTCAAGGTAGTTTTTGATAAAGTTGTTGTCCAATCAACTTGAAACTTAGTACACATATTCCCTATGATATGATCTTTCTAATTTTAATGCCAAATTAGAGTTTTGACCCCAAATCCACGTCCAAGGAACATAGAAAATGATAGTGCGAGTGGGGCATACGTGTACTATAGACACATTCTTGTTTTCTAGAAAAACAAGAGAATTCGAATAGATTTATCTTCATGTCATTTTGAAGAAAAAAATAACGTTCTTTTGATCTTGGTCCCGATTGCATCTGCCGAAATGTTAGCGGTAATAGGGTGTTTTAGTGGGAATACGTTAATGATACAGCAAATCAACATAGTAAAATAAACACATAGACAGTTGTCTATAAATCATGTTAAGTTCTAAACCGCCCCCGATCTAAAAATGTGTTTGAAGAAATTCACCAAAGACTATCAATGATCTGCCATAAACACCAAACTTCCTCAACTGACAGCAACACCAAACTTCCTCAATTGACCGCAACACCAAACTTCCTCAATTGACAGCAACACCAAACTTCCTCACTTGACAGCAACACCAAACTTCCTCAATTGACAGCAACACCAAACTTCCTCACTTGACAGCAACACCAAACTTCCTCACTTGACAGCAACACCAAACTTCCTCACTTGACAGCAACACCAAACGTCCTCACTTGACAGCAACACCAAACTTCCTCAATTGACAGCAACACTACGGTATGAAAACGTGCAAAACCTTTAGAGTTCCAAACTTGAGGTAGGCGACTATTTTTCTCTCAGTAGTATCAAATAAATATTTCATGCGAGAGTTTATTTAAACAGGTGATCCAGAGAAGCCTACTTTATTCTTAAACCCTGCCGTTGTTGTCGAGTCCGGCTCTTATAATGAAGCTCATCATTGCTACGGAAATGTTGGATACCCACCGGGGGAACTTCGTATCGATGTTTTAATAGATTTGACCGGAAAAGTTGATAAACAGTATTACCAAATACCGGATGAATTCGTTTCCAGATTGAATGACATTAGAACTAATCAGGATTGTCATGGATTCCAAAATCTTACATTCTTACTAAACGTAGATGGTCAGCAAAATAATCAAACTTTGAGATGCAGAGTAGAAAATAAATATCAATCTGAAGTAGATCCTTATGCAGATGTTCATGTCCTTACAATTATCCCAAGTAAGTATACAACACTAACTAATTTTAGTTATGGAATGTGAATATGTCTACATTCTAAATAAATTTAATAGCCGACTTAAAGATGAATATATATATATATAAGAGATGCGGTGTTAGAACTGAAGTTATAGAGAAAGTGCATTTGTGTACATCTTAAAATCGAAGACAAATACGAGCTTCCCCGAACTTTTCCATTTTGTTAATTGAATAAGGTAGAGAATGTCCTTTTCAAAATTCTGTTGTTAAAATATCTCATTTCATACTTCATATTTCTTAGTTCCCATTTCCAAGTTCCAAGTTGACAATTCTTAGTTCTAAGCTTATATTTCGTGTTTCTAACTTGACAGTCTTACTTTAAACTTAACATTTCTCACTTCCAAGTTGACATAGCATTTAAAACCGGATTATGATGCCAATTACTTTCATCTAAGATTTAATGTTTCATTTGTGGAAACTTTCGAATTAAAATGCCAATACAATAAAAGTGCCTTATGTCTTGTGAAGACGAAGCACGGCCAATAACCTAACAACTATGTCACTCCATACGGCAATACAAAAACGAGCTATAAAAAGGGCTCTGGAAGGATAAACTTACCCTGTTTATCAGTCGGCATCCATAGTATTGGCTATTTGACATGCTAATCGCTGTGAGCAGCTAATATCAAAGACAGTGGTAAATAATGCAGAATTTTAAAAAATATCATTAAAAATTTTATGTCAATTTGGAATTTTTATTTAAAAAAGATAAAACTATGTAGGTTATATTCGGAAATATGACATAACATTTCACTCTATTTTTAAAGTATGACTTTTGCAGAAGACATATGCAAGTGCAATACTATACAATCCGGTATACGTCGCGGACATCCTGGGCGATGTGATTATTATGTTGAATGTGTTAATATGACAGTTCCAGTGGGAAAACAATGTCAGGCAAACCAATGCAGAAATAGTTCAACAGGAATCTGTTCAGATGACTGTTCTGAGAATGTATGCAAGGAAACAGTTCCTGCAGGTAATACATTTTTTTTAATTTTAAAATAAAACTTATTGCAGAGATAAGAAATACGTAAGATTAAACTAAAATCCAATTTTGCGTACTTTAAAACTGTAATACTTTGATATATATAGTATAATGTATGTAAACCTTGTAATAATCAATTTGGTCGATAAAGGATTCAAATATTTCAAGAATCAATTGTTTCGTATACATTTCTGCAGTAATAAAGCAAGAGTCGAATCTCAGAAAGAGTTGGTGTTTTTATGTCAACTCGAACTTGTTATCTACACACAAACGCCTCGAGCTGCTGTCAAAAAAAAAGGAATCTCCATCAAACATACTTGTAAATTAATTAGCGAGTTGTAATACAAAATAAGGAGATTTTGTATGATTGTCAATGAGACAACTATTCAACGGAGTTCGAATGACGTGGTTTTAAGCAATTACAGGTCAACGTAAGGACCTTCAACAAAGGGCAAAACCCACATCATACAGTCAGGTATAGAAGGCCCCGACATGAATGACAAAATGTGAAACAATACGAACAAAAAATCAACGGCCGAAAAACAAATATAACACACGGCTACCAACGATAGCCACTAAATTACAGGCCCCTGAATTAACAGGAACATAAGGAATGTGGCGGATTTAACAGTGTTTATAAGTACTCACAAACACAAATACAAACGCATTTACCTTTTATCAGATATATCCATATATAGATAAGAATAACTTTTTTAGATTTTTGTGGTGCTGTAACCATACCATCTATAGATATGACTACTACCGTTAGTCCAACTGTGTCACGTAAGTGTTTAAAATGTAAAATTTACCTTCTACGTAAAATGTTATGAAACTTATACACAATGCTTATTACCACAACACTGAGACCAAGTTCGAATTTGGGTGGCGTAACTTTTACCGATCTTGAGTTATGTCCCTTTATAACGTTATATGCAATTATCATGTCCCATGTACACATTCTCCATTTATTTTCATGTTTTTTTTTCAATTCATAATGATTACCATCTTTACAAGAAGAGCACAACAACAATAGTATTTAAAACGTTACCAGTTAGTTCTGAGTTATGCCGCTTTTTACGACGAGTGTCATTTTATACAATTAAAACTGATGAGAAATGTAGTCTCACAATTTAAAAATTTTCGTCACCTCAACCCAACTCAAAATATGCTTACACAACTTAAAATACTATTACCAATACTTTTTTCCGGCAACATAGGAATATTTAAAAAATGTACAGCAAACACACTGACATCAGTAAAAAAATAGAGACAATTTTATATTTGAACACTAATAGTCTGTATGAGTTCTCTGTAAGTTAAGTAGAAATTTTAATCCCGTCTTTCTTGGACAACTGTGTATTTTGTTTCTAACAAAGACAATTTAACAAATGAAGGAACTGTTACTTTGAAATTAATTAACTATTTTAATCGTTTAAAAGAGCAGGGACCAGTGTCATGAAGCAATCTTAGTGCTTAAGATCATCTTAAGATCATCTTATCTGCTAAGAGTGTATCTTGAAGTAATCTTAGAATGATTGACAGCCCTTAAAATTCATGTTGGACTCGCAACCCTAAGAGTACTCTTTATCCTTCTCTGATCGCTCTCTTAGCTTTAATCCTAACGATGGGGTATCTCGAACGTCGATAATCAACTTAAGATCGTCTTTGATTACTCTTAGCAAATTTTAAGTGTATCAGCATTCTTTTTTTTTACTGAAAACTTAACAGAAATTTCTAAGAGTGGTCAGGGGCACGCACCCCTATCTCTCTCTTAGTTGAAAATATGGCGCTTATAATGTTCTTGCTTTTGCGTTTAAGAGAGCAAAATAGGATATACATAAGGATCTTCAGGGATCGAACAAATCCATTTGATTTCCTAGACGACAGTAGGATTGTCCGTGATTACAAAATAGGAAAATGTCCCCAGTACAGTAACAGCATTTCTTTCATCTGAAAAACTGTCAGTATTGTTTCCGATTCATCTTTGTTAAAGTTGGCTTTTTTTATGATAATAAGATGTGGTATGATTGCCATTGAGACAACTATCTTACAAGGTTCAAATGAAGTGGATGTAAGCAACTATAGGCAATCGTACGGCCTTCAGCAATGACAAAAATACATACCATATAATCGGCTATTAAAGGCCCCGACATGAAAATATGAACATTCAATTGAGAAAACCAGCGGCCTAATCTATAACAAAATAATTTACGAAAAAAAAATATACTATGACAGACATGAACCAACGTCAACCACTGAACTACAGGCTCCTGACTTGGGACAGGCACATAAAGAATGTTGCGGGGTTAAACATGTTTGAGAGCGCTCAACCCTCCCCTAACCTCGGACAGTGGAGTTACAGCACAACATAAGAACAAACTCTGAAAATCAGTTGAAAAAGGCTTTACTCAGGAGATCGATACAAAGCAGGAAAACAGCTAACAAATACACAAACAGGACGTGGCAGGGTATTTGTTCATCCCTAACAACGAAAACACTTAAAGTACAGATCTGAGGGTACTCGCAGTTACTGACAGCTAGTTCAAAGCCAATAACAACTAATTAAAACAAATCATGTATCTATGACTAAAATATCATTCAGTACACATCCTACATCCAATAGATTTAGTGTAAAGACGGCATTCACAGTCAGAGAAACACATGACCATTAGCAATGCCAAAATATAGGTCCCGTGAAAGTGCATATGTGTATAACAATAATATTTAGTATGGTTTTAATTTACTGATAACAAAATCAATATTTATACCAATAAAAACAATATTAAAGGTATAATAATTACAGTGTTGAATTGGTAACCTTTTAGAATAAGTTTATTTAAAGGAGTGATAAGTCCCGATAAGTATACCCGGATCGTATCTAAATTTTCAGGCTCGGTAAACAAGAGGGTAGGAATGCCCTTTACCGTTAGACATCAAACGGTCATTTTCGGCTACTTTTAACATCAAAAATCGTGATTTGTCAAAATATCCTTATCGTGATTCGTCACATGTCTCAAATAATCATCCGTTACCGTATTTTTTTTGGAAAGAAATTATCGTGATTTGTCAAAATCGTCGGTTTTTTAATCGTCATAAAGTAATTGTACATTTTATCGTCATGCATTGAAAATTACCGTTAATGTTATTAGGCAAGATTTGTTACCTTTATACGTCATGAAGGTACCCCCATTACAACCCTCAAACAACATCACCGTAGAAATTAGGATGTGCTATTCTGTTTGAAATAAGTTTTCTACAGGTACAGCCAAACTCGCTAACCAAATCTGTGTATCTATGGAAAAAATTAGGAAAGGTTTTAAGTTATTTGTGCTAACGAAATCCTTGACTTAATAATGTCCCAGTAATACATAGATTACGTTCCTTGAAATCTAAAACTTCACTACAGACAAGGATATAGCGAACGAGTTTTAAAATATAAACACCGCAAGACGATGCCAAAGGAACATCACCGTCAAAAAATGGAAAATTATCAATAGGGAAAGAAAATTTGTCCCTTGTTTTCTTCGGACCGTTTGGAGCACCTCTATCTGCCATTTTTGTTTTTTATTCAATGTTTGAAAATATTTCTTTAATATAAAAATAAGGAGATATGGTATGATTGCCAATGAGACAACAGAGGGACGAAAGATACCAGAGGGACAGTCAAACTCATAGATCGAAAACAAACTGACAACGCTATGGCCAAAAATAAAAAGACAAACAGACAAATAATAGTATAGATGACACAACATAGAAAACTAAAGACTAAGCAACACGAACCCCACCAAAACCTGGGGGTGATCTCAGGTGCTCCGGAAGGGTAAGCAGATCCTGCTCCACATGTGACACCCGTCGTGTTGCTTATGTTATTACAAATCCGGTAAATAGTCTAATTCGGTAGGTCACATTCGTGAAAAGGGAAGGGTATTGTAGTTACGACATAAGGAACATATCCGATATCATCTGTGAAACGGTTATTCCAAAACGGTCAACCAACTCGTGATGGCGTCCGTAAAATTTACAAAGGGATGATTTCAACTTCACCATTTGGAACTCTTGGTTTAATAGCTTCCTTGTGAGCAGCAATCCTCTATCAAGGAAATCATGATAGGAAATACAAGCCCGGGAATATCGTATCAATTGGGAGATATATACTCCGTTTGCAGGCGCTTCTGGAATGTTACTACATAGAAATGGGAAGCTGAAATCATCCCTTTTGTCGTAAAGTTTTGTTTTCAACCGACCCTCATTGTCAATTTCTATATGTAAGTCAAGATATGAGGCAGACTTAACTGTATCTGTAGTATCCTTTATCTCTAGTTCGATGGGATAGATTCGTTCAACATAGTCACCAAATTTTGTATTATTTAGTGAGAGAACATCATCTGTATAGCGGAACGTAAAGTTAAAGGATATTGCTAACTTCTTTCTTTCCAAAGAAGTTCCTGTATGAAGTCAGCCTCATAACAATAAAGAAACAAGTCGGCAAGAAGAGGGGCACAATTGGTTCCAATTGGAATTCCTTGAGTTTATTGAAAAACACGTCCTCCAAACGTAACAAATATGTTGTCAATCAAGAAATCAAGCAGCTTGATAATGTCCGTTTCAGAGAATTTTTTGTCAGAATCAGAGTGATTCTTTACAAAGTAGGATTTATCCCTCCCCAAGACAAGATACTTGTATCTACGTTCGCCGTTCTTTTTAATAAAACAAATTAGTACCAACTCTTTCAATTTGTCTTTTAGTTTGGAATGGGGAATACTTGTGTAAAGTGTAGAAAAGTCAAATGTTTTAATACTATTGCAAGATGAGAGAGTCTTAGATTGTATGTACTCTAAAAGATCTTTGGAATTTTTTAGTATCCACATCTGATTCACTCAACCTCTAGAATAGGCAACTATCCACCAAAGTTCAAATGAAGTTGATGTAAGCTATTATAGGCAATCGTAGGGTCTTCAACAATTAGAAACACCCATACCGTATAGTCGGCTTTAAAAGGAATAGACATGGAAAATATGACACTATTCAATTGAGAAAACTAACAGCCTAATTTTTAACAAAACAATTTACGAAAAAAACATATATGACAGACATGTACCAACGACAACCATTTGAGCAAAAAACGACAACCACTCAATGGTCAATAATCAACTAATGACTTTGGACCGAGCTTTGGACAGACACATATAGGATCATATAGAATGTGGCGGGGTTAATAGATATAAGAAGATGTGGTATGAGTGTAAACATGTTTGTAGGCGCCAACCCTCCCCTAACCTGGTAAAGTGGTGTAACAGTACAACATAAGAACAAACAATAAAAACAAGCATTGAATTTAAGTGTGTTTTTCGACCGTTCTATTAAACGCACAGATGATTTTTACTATCGACTTTGCCTTGAACTCTAATATTCTCATCAAAAATCAAAGGCGGTCATTTCGAAAAAGTCGATAAGAGTACTATCTTAACTCACAGTCGTACGTGTATACTAAGATAGCTGTAAAATTGTTAAGAGTAAACCACGAGAGGATTGGAGATACGCTCATAGCACCATCGTAACGTTATCGTAAAGCGTTCGTAAGTAATCTCTTAAATGAAGCTTAAGATAGGTTTTCATGATGCTGGCCCCTGGAAGGCCATATAACTTGATAGAACAAAGGTAATGAGTATCATACGGTTCTGAGCTTGAAAAACCTTTCAAAGAGAAACTATAAAAATGAAACATTGCTTTGCAAGTTAGATCTAAAAAAGGACATTTTACGTGCCAATCTGCCTAAGAATCAGGCAGTGGTGAAAACATGACAAACAAAAACCCACTCAGGTTGACATTAATTTTTGTTCAAAATGTATAACGGTGCTTGAATATAACATTCGTTTCCTTGTCCTGTTCTGGTAATTCAAGATATAATTTGGTTGAAATGCACTAGAAATGAAAAATTAAGGGGAGCTAACTTCGTAATTTGCTATCATTCTAACCAAAATTTATCTAGAGATTTCTCGAATTACCAGACACGCAGAAACGAAAGACCTACCATTTCTAACTCAGGATGAGGTTAACTTCAAAATAGGATGGTTAGGTCTGTGGGTTTTTTTAGGGCATGTTTTGATTTTTTTCAAAATTGCCTGATTCTTACAAAGACTGGCACTTAATGCTTCATATTTCCAACTTATTTTACAGCAATAGAGTGCACGAATACATCGATTTTCTTGAATACTGGTCCCGCAACAATACTGTGCTATTTGAATAGAATAACTTTTAATTCAATAACTATCAATAGAGCTTCAGAGACCGAGGAAACAAAAACATTAGGATTCATCAGCAGTGATGGTTCTGTCAGCATGCTGCCAATAGAGGAACAATTCAATATAACAATAGACTTTGACGGCACCAAATTAACCATTACAATGATGGTAGCGACTTGTGGTTCAGAGGGACCTTACACTGTTGTTGTTGATACAAGTGACCAAATATATACTACAAATGGTCATTTAATAATCTTACGTAAGATATTAAGAAGAATAGATTATGGCAGCGTGTAAAATGTCGGATATTTTATCACAGGAATAGGAATATTGCTTTATTATAATATAGTTTATGCTGGTGCGATGTTTGAATTTACGGAATAGAAAACACACACGCGCGTAAATAAATCGAAAACCTCAAGGTATCAAATTTCAGTTTCATTTTCTCATCTCTTTTCCAATTAAGGGTTTATAAAGTTTCAACTGCAGTATGGTTTAGGCTTTTATACTGCCCCAGTTTTTTGTGCTGCAGCAAAGATAGGGAAGTCATGTAATGTTTCATTTGTGCGTCCGTCTATCTATCCGTAATATTGGAAGTCAACACTTTTTTAATGAAAATCTTCTTTAAAAAATGTATGTAATGCAATTTTACAGTAACAACTGTACAACAATATATAGTCCATAGATGTGCTTATTTATGTTCAAGTTGATTAGAAATTTTGGGGTAGGTAAAAAAGAAAGAGAAAAAATTATATAGTATTTCATGGAAGGGAATGAAATTGCTATAACGAAAATAAGGAGATGTTGTATGATTGCCAATCATATAAATATCCAGCAGGGACCAGAATGACGTAGATGTTGACAATGTTTGGCCTTCAACATTGAGCAAAACCCAAATTGTATAGTGAGCTGTAAAATGCCCTTATATAACAAAATTTCAAACAATTTTAAAACACGAAAACCAATGTGCTAATTTATGATAAAACGAAAAAAGATTAACAAATCGTTAGACAGCAACCACGTGCACTGAATTACAGGCTCCTGGTTTGAGACAGGCACATACAGAATGTATCAGGGTTGAACATATCTGCGAGTGATTAACCCACTCCCTATTCTTAAACAGGGTGTAACAGTACACCATAAGAACAAACTGTTAAATTCAGTTGGAAAGGTCTTTCAACAGCAAAGGCAAGAGTAAATATCAATTATCTTGAACAACAACAAAATTTTTGTGAAATAAAAATCCCGAATTTTGAGAACAATGGTATATCAATATCGGGAAATGTTGACAACATTGCAAATACATCTTAGATTATACATAATATATAGAATAAGGTAATATGTTTTTAAAATGTATATACTTGAAAGTAGATCTAGTTTATTTTAAACTTAACTTTTGCTATGCTTTCTAAGAAAGAAGAACAATTCAATTGAGATTTGCATACGAAGTGCAAAATCGCCTCATACATGTAGTATGGTGATTTTTGACGGGCGCGGATAATGATACCTATTGTTTGTAATCATTTACAAAAAAGATTACACAGGTATCGGTGCAATTTGTAGGAAAAATTAACTGCTTTCCGATGATTTTGTCGTGTTAAGAAAAAAATAGCATGCCTTACATAGTTAGATATTTCTCCCAAATTGCGCCGATTAAAAACTTGATTTGACTTCTTTTGGTTACTCCTACTTAATTAACCGTACAGAATGTCTTGCACCAGAGTAGGTAACCTGTCGAAAAATTATAGAATCATGTGCAAAACAGTGTAGCCGAGACCATTGATTGGCGCGCTAAAATATCCCATTGACTGGGTCAGATTAGGTGAACGTTCGTCTGTAACGCCCACAACTCACGACGTATTTATTATAAACATTTAAACTGTGGGGTTGCCAAAGGGTCTCAGTATATATACGAACTACAGTGCACAGTATATTATATACATATTTTATTTGCGATCATAAAATGTACGAAGTCGTCCATTACTATGTAAATTGGGTCGATTAAAAAAAAAGCTGAATATGTTTCTGTTGCCAAGGGTTTTTCATAAGTATAGTAGTTAGCAGAAAAGATCATCAAACTATACATTTTACCTATTCAAAAACGTAAATGCAAATTTCACAAGGCTTGATCCAAATAGCCTTTTTACTGTCTAATAACTTGCAAGTACGAAAAAGACAGGAAAGAAGTATATTTTGTCTATATGTTTTGTGTTTGCACACTTTTTTAAAGTTGATCATGCATTCGTTCTAAAATAAAATTTTGACCAGATAAAAGTTAAAAGATGACATAATTGGACAACCGCAATTGTTAAATCGCTTTGACGTCCGAAAAAAAGATAATAATCAACACATCCATTGTAACTTTTAAAGCCAGTTAAATCCTTTTTTGCTGAAAGAACGTCCGATATCATAAAAATTCATTATCAAAACATAACAAAAACACAAGTAAAGAACGTTTAAGTATTCAACATAAATCAAAACACAAAGGTTATTCCTGATTAGTTTTTCGAATTATTTTATTTAGGCGTTGAGACCCTTTGGTGACCCCACAGTTTAAATGTTTATAATAAATACGTCGTGAGTTGTGGGCGTTACAGACGAACGGTCACCTAATCTGACCCAGTCAATGGGATATTTTAGCGCGCCAATCAATGGTCTCGGCTACACTGTTTTGCACATGATTCTATACTCCGGAGTCAAAAATCGGTAATCTGAAAATATTCTATTTGTGCATTTAGCTTTTACGGAATTCTTCCAGGGTTTTAATCTTATTTTTTCAAGGTTAGGATATTTATCATTTTTCTGAACCATTTTTACAAATGGTGCACATTTTGTGTAATCAACTATAGATTTCAATACAGATCACTGAAACTGTACAGAAAGATTACAAACGTATTGAAGTCATACATATCCTAATATGAAGATTTTCAAAGACTATTATACATTGTTTAAGAATCATTCCGCTCTTTTCCGATTTTCATATATAAGGTCAATACCATATTATTCATAATTATATGTTTTGAATTAATTATTTATAAGTTATGGTTAATAAAATTAATTCATACACTATTACTTCATCATATGTCCAGGAGAAAGTATCTGTTTTGAATAATGTTTCTGTTTTAAACAGGCAAGCCATCAAATCCAAACTTAGAAATGAATAAAGATCAGGTGATAAATCTGGGATATTACAGACCAGGATTTGAACACGTATGCAGTGGTGACGTCGGTGAACCTCCCAGAAATCTAATTATAGAAATACAGCACACTGGGTCGACGTCTTTCGAACCGTTACAAGATCAATTCATAAAAATCATATTCACAAAGATTCAACGAGAACATTGCTATAACAATACAATGACAGTCCTGTTTGGCATGCTGTTTTCTCCTGAAATGATCAATAGTAAAATACGGTGTCTTGTGAATGATTCCGTTTCTTTGGGAAACAATGAAATTTTTGCAGACACAGAAGATTTACACCTTATTCCAGGTTTGATTCGTTTTAATCTTGTTTTATGTGCTCCTGCACTGTATGGGTATACAAACACATCAATAGTACGTAAAAGACAAAAAGGCAACGCAAACTCTTCATTTGTGAAGGACAGAAACACCGTTTCCAAAATAGTAAAAGTCACACAAATAGTTGGGAGCAATCGAAAAACAAATTTAGATCTAAACAAAATAGGAGCCAAATAGCATTTCCTGATTTGTTAACAGGTACACATCAAGATTAGTCAATAATGATGTAATTTGTATAGCCAAGTGATGACCTCTGGGTTTGAAATCAATGACTTCCAGTCCAACATTAAAGACACATCCAGCAATGTCTCTTACACAATTTTCAATGTTTTGTTATTTCCTAAATGTACTCATTAATGTTATAAAAATATCTTTCTGTTAATTTTGCAGAAGATATCTGCAATTGCAATACCAAAGATAGTGCAAAAAAGGGACACCCAACAGTTTGTGACGTTTTTGTGCAGTGTACTAATTTCACAGTACCTCAAGGATTACCATGTCCATCTCTTAACTGTAGAAATAGTGTGACGGGTGAATGTAGTACTGACTGTTCTGTAAAAACATGTAGTGAACCAGTTCCACAAGGTATCCTTAATAGAATCATTCTGAAAATTATTATGATAGTTGTGATTTATGAAAGACGTAGAGCCATTTTCCACTTAATTTATTTCAAACCGAGGCCATTTTGAAAAATTCTTTCAATCTTTACATTAATTCATTATATCACATCCCAATGTATGAACTTTAAGTTTCTAATAATAGTATGGCTTAATTCTAAACAGATTACTAAATTATAAATACCGATGTTTAGCAAAAAGTAGAAATTTTCACAGATTTTTGCAAATTTGGTACTAGTATTTATCCAAAATTCAAAAAACAAATTAAGATCCTGTTAATGAAACATAGACAGTGGAAATTTGGCTCTACCTCAATATGGTTTTGTTTCTTAAAATCGAGGGAAACAGTACTTATAACAGGAGGCTACATACATGAAGTGTTTGTGCAAAGTGTACCGATATAGACGAAATTAAAAGTAGCTCAAGTTGTGTGTGTAAGATGAATACGAGTGTTGATTTATGTACATCAAAAGCAAAGAATATTTACTGTATGTGAAATACAGTTCATGATTTATACCCAAACAGATGTTTTTACCTTTTTTTGTGTCAGTGGGATATGGTCTCATGTACGTATACCCAGGACTTTCTTGTAGCCATACTTACTATTCATAATGTATATAAAGAACTACTTGATCAAGTTGGAGCACATCAACATTTTATCTTTTCTCTATCTCTGATTAAGGTCGAAGTCTGAATTATTATTTTGTTAGGCAAATCGACGACATACTGCAATATGTCAATACAAATAAGATAGTAACAGGTGGAGAGTTTTAGCTTAAAGATCAACCATCATCTAACATGCAACTTAAAACTTCAACACCAAGAATGTGACTAATGCGGACTTTACCAATGTGCGTAAAAAGAAATGTTGGTGTACGAAAATAATTAAAAATCATCAACAAGAGATCAACGTGCAGTATTATAAGCTAGGCAGGCGTCTATACAATATGTTAAACGCTACACTTCCAGAATAGCAAACAAATAAAGATAACTTAAATAAGCAAACATGTTCAGAAAAATCCACAGACCAATAAAATACAAAAAGTGTGATTAAAATTTTTGATAAAACCTTTTTTTCTAGATTTTTGCAAATAGGAAGCAAGGAAACAGTAATCACAGGTTCAAGAAGAAATATCTCAGGTATTTGTATATGAAAAGTTTTGGTTTGAATTTAAAAAAAAATATTGAAAATAATAGATAATGTTTTGTTATAAGAAAAACTTATTTTTATGGCATCGACACAAAGTGGTCAGGGCCATATAGTTTTACCCTTGTCCGTCATTCCGTCATTCCGCAACGAACAGTTATACGAACTTTATTTTCTAAACGCCTTCACATATTGAGCTGAATTTTAGTATGTGAGTCTACTATGATGAGTTGCAGATCAAGATTACGTTTGGTTCCTCTCCGCTGGTTTTTGCCGAAATAATTGGTTTTGGGCTTTCAAAATTTTGGTTTCAATAACAGTTATACGGACTTTTTTCTAAATGTCTTCATATATTGAGCTGATTTTTAGTATGTGAGTCTACTATGATGAGTTCGAGTTAATGTTTGGTTCCGCTCCGCTGATTTTTGCCGAAATTACGGGCTTTGGACTTTAGTTAAAATAACAGTTATAAATACGGACTTTCATTCTCACATTTCCACTCCTAAAACTGGCTTCAACCGTTTTTTGCGAGCAGGGCCATTCGTGTCGGATGAAAGTCACTACAGAAACACGTAATTATATCAGTAACACTGCTTGTTAATTATCAGTACCCGAGGTTACCTACCAGTGCTACCGCCCAATAGACTGTTCGTCTGTGTTGGTATGAATCGAATGATACATTTTATCTGTAGTTTCAAGTTCTTAAAAGCAGGTGATTGTTTTAAATCTTAGATTCCTACTCCACACGGAGGACTTTATCTTAAACAGCTGAGCAGTTTTGGTTTTGGTCGTATTTGGTTTTGTGGTTTCTGGGTTTTGATCTCAAACATACCATATGAAAGCTATTTCAGAAACATGTGTTACGTGAACAGAAACCATATCACATCTATTGTCTAAAAAAAGTACTGCGAGGCCACGTTTGAATATAGTTTGTGTGGAGCAGGATCTGCTCACCCTTCCGGAGCTCTTGAGATCCACCCCGGTTTAGGGCAAGGTTCGTGTTGCTCAGTCTTTAGATTTCTATGTTGTTTTTTGTGTACTGTTGTTTGTCTTTTGGTCTTTTTTTATTGTGCCATGGTGTTGTCAAGTTTATTTTCGACTTTTGAGTTTGAATAAAGTTGAGAATGGAAATGGGGAATGTGTCAAAGAGACCACAATCGACCATAGAGCAGACAACAGCCGAAGGCCACCAATGGGTCTTCAATGCAGCGAGAAACTCCCGCACCCGGAGGCGTCCTTCAGCTGGCCCCTTAACAAATATGTATACTAGTTCAGTGATAATGGACGCCATACTAAACTCCAAATTATACACAAGAAACTAAAATTAAAAATGATACAAGACTGACAAAGGCCAGAGGCTCCTGACTTGGGACAGGCGCACAAAATGCGGCGGGGTTGTCTCTTTCGTATCTTTCGCCTCTACTTTGTCTCTATTTTCAAGTTCATATTTGTTAACCAGCTTAGATTCCTACTCAGCCAGGATGACTTGACCTTTAAAGGCTTAGGTGTTCTGGTTTTGTTTTCTCTGGCTTTTCGTCTCGAACGTACAAGATGATAGCTATTCCCGAAACACAAACTACAGCGAGCGCACGTTGAAATACAATATCTCTTATACAGATCCACACCAGAAAGTCTTGAATTACTTCAAAACGTATAAATTGCTTTTGAAGGACCGTGTGGATTCATCTGCCAAAACTGAAAAGGTTACAAATTTCAGAACACCATCAATGCATCGTTAATTTGTTTGTGTGATAAATTCAAATATGTTTTGTAACGCATGTTATCGTGAAAATGATGTGAAAAAATGAAAAAGAACGAAATGATTGTCTGTTCTGAAATAGTTAAATGGTTTTCTAAATATTATAAATAACTTAGTTATTTTACAGGTTTCAAATGAAAATTTAGTCTGTGGATACAGTTTCCTACAACCATTCAGACTATCCTGTGGATATAGCCTCATAGTTCATATCGGAACATTTAGAGGATTATTTTAAGTGTTCCATCAAAAAGATTTACGTGTTCCATCAAATAGATTTGCTTGTAAACAAAATGTGTTGTTCATTAAACATTCACATCAAACCCATCTTGGTTATCCAGACGAAGTTCAAGCTTGATCGGAATAATGAATAATGAATTATATGTTCATATGGTTTTTTTTTTCGAAAACTATTTGATGTTGTTGATTCATGTATATTCATATTAATTTCTCATTAACAGACTGAACAATTAAGAAATTCGCCCACGTCGTTCATTGTAATTTGAATGTTATAAAATATAAATGATTATTGTATTGATTGTACATATTTCAATTTCATTTTTATTAAATTTAGTAGAAACTCTCAAATAGCTTTGCATCTTGAACCCTTTTACTTTCACCTCCAATACGATATATACATAAACAATCATCAACAATTTGTACTCAGAAATAAGCCCTTTAAATTTTGCAAGAACTAGTAATCTTACAATTTAAAGGAAAACATTTGGTTTTTAAAGTGCATAGATTATCCTCGGTGTCCATTTTATCGAAACGAAATTAAAAATCTGAATGCAGGACTTAACTAAAGTACAATGAATATTATATGAGTCAGACTATGCCAATTTCAAGAGATTGTCAATCTGATTAAAATTTAGATCTATCGCAACTCGCGTGCTCATCGATACTTTTTAATTAGATTGAAGAGATTTGTCTTTTAAAGAAATTATACAGAGGTTTGTAATGGCACGTGTTTGTCAGGTTATACTTTGTAATTCCTTTTAACAGTTCAACCTCATTGACCCTCTTGTCATATGCCTGACAATATTCATGATTGTTTCACAGAGTCAAAGCGCATATAATTAACACACTTATTCGTTTAGCGTGACAGAATAACAGTCTTCATTGGGACGCTCAAAATCTTTAATGCGAAAAAAGTATAACAAAAATACCGAGGTAAATTAAGAAAGGGGAAGTCTATAAAAACTGGCAAAATCATATGTTATCAACCAACAGAACGAGAGAAAAACAACTGTTATATTCTTGACTTGGTACTGGCATTTTCCGGGGGGGAAATTGTAGGTTAACCGTGGTTATATAGCTAGCTAAACAACAAAATGTCTAAATAAAGATGGCGGTGAACAATATTGATTATAATGTACTCAATTAAAAATTAACCTTTTTTTTATTAAGCAAAACATCACGGAGATTCCTAACATTAAAATGAGTGCATACAAGCACTTCACCAGTATTTGGAATCTTTGTTTATTGTTACAACTGTGACCGGTAAGTAGATGACAGCAACCAAACTGTTCAACAAAAACTTAGTTAGTGTCTGTAAATGGTATATAACTTTATTGTTGTATTTATGGTCAATGCCCGCAACCTTTTTCTTGAGTTTTACTCACTATTGTAGCCTACTTGTCTTTACTTCCGTCATTTGTACATCTATGTATATTTTTCATCATCCGTCTGTCCATGTATGCATATCGTTTTCTTGTTTGTATATCTACTCTTTTTAGTGTTATTCCTTGAGCGTATAGCCATTTTCATACGATTCTGCATTTGATTGCGCAATTTTATTTATTCTTAAAAAAACATTCGGGCATTTGCTATACGCCAAATCATATCATGGCAGTTTTATTAACAAATAGAAACTAAAAAAACGTGCATAGAACACTTAGTTAAGTTAAATGCATGCATTGGTTAAATAATTTCCTTAACATTGTAATTAGGGGAAAACCGTCTCGTATGACTTTTAATCTAATATTTTGTATTTTTTGGAAACACATGGGCTTATCCCTTTTTCGTTAATGAACTGACATTGCTTAATCTATATATTCTTTTGAAGTATTTTGTTTGTCTTTTGACCATAATGTTTGTTTTTCTTCTTAGGCTTATGATTACCTCCCTCTTTCTTATTTCATCAAATAACAAATTTAATGCTAAACCTTATATCATTGTAAGAATTGTGAGTATATTTGGAATTTTCTTTTTATAAATGATTTTGTTCCTTGTTATTATACCAGCATATTTTATTAACCAAAATATGTAAATTTCAATTCTAAATAAAATTTGACATGTAAACGTAAAGAAATTAAAACCCTAATTAGCATCAATGATTAATTATTTTTTCGGCATGTGTGTAGATGGTAAAATTAAATGACGTTGTGGGTCATGAAATTAATTTGACTAGACCGAACATCACGAAGTGTAATTAAACTTTTAGTCTAATTACGTATTTGCATTTGCTAATTTGAATTTCTAGAAGAATGCATGTCCGTGAATACTTACTTTTAATTTAACACAGGGATGGAGATTTTGTCGATTTCAACGTGTTTGATTTTCTTATTTATAGTTATCTGCAATGCTCAAAAAGGTAAGTTATATTCTCTTTTTTTTCTTAACTACTCGCATTTCACCCTTATCTTTTTCTTACTCATAAGGCGTTTGGTTTATATTTTACAGCAAATTGACAACAACTAGCTTCTGAACTCGAATTTTATAATATTTTTCAGAAGAAACATATTACTTATCACGATTACTTTTCGACGTCTTGCATCCCAAAAATTGAACCATTCTTTAAATTGAATTCTTTAAAAAGCGTTATTACAAGGGCATTGGCTTACTTTGTATAATGCTTTGCGCAAAGATGTGATTTGTTTTAATTCTATTATTCAAGCTTGCTTTTTTCAGATGCACTTCCAGATCTTAATTCATTAGATTTATTCAAAGACCATCCTATGGATATCGGTTCATTGTTACCCGATACCTTACTAAGAGATTCTTCCATACCATCGTCACTAATGCCACGTGACAATCACCCAAGTACTACAGCCACAACAGAAAAAATGAAATTTGCCTCGCTCTCTGCAACAAAGCCTGCTAAAGCTGTGTTTAGTATGAGAAATGCTGAGATAGTGAAGCCAACACAAGTTCAGGCAAACATAACAAAAATGACAGTGTCTCCATTTCCAGTAACAGAGATCATTGAAAATATACCAACATCTGAAGCTCCACCACCAGTGAAGTCTTCAATTAATAAAGATACAATGGTGTATAAGACACAATTAAAACCCAGCTCATCCGATTTAGGTTTAAATGGGAGAGTTGTTCATGAATTCCTACCTCAAAAAGTGTGGCGCGACATGAAAACACAATCTAATTCGTTATCCAATGACTTTAAAGACGGTTTTAATGTAGCAGGATCCTCAATTTTATTATCTGATGTTTTCAAGCAGCCTTGGAACCGACAGAACTTAAACGGTGGTTCTTTCATTCTACAGAATAGAAGGAATAAGTTAAAACAAAAGAAAAAATTAAGAAAACAGATTATCAAACACAAGCAGCCATCGATAGAGCAATTAACAAATATTTTAAAGCGAGAAAATACGCTTTTAAATATAGCACTTGGATTAATCAGTAAAGACAAGTCTTATTTAAAGGATTCATTATTCAATAGAAAAAACAAATGTCCGTATAAACCATATTCTCTCAATAAAAAGTTTTTTATGGAGAAAATAAAGGATAATGGATGGATTAAACGGAGGTGTGCCCTTGGAACAGCATATGACCAAGATACATGTGAATGCTCAATTAATATTGGATACCAACCTGAAGGTTAGTGTAGAAATTAATCCTATAATACAGTTAACAAAGTCACCAAATTATAAGCTTAATGAAGTATGATTAATACTTTTAGCGGTTGTGTACTTTACAGCATTTTCATCGTAAAACAAAGTAATTGAGATTTGTCCTATTTACAATCATTCATACATATAATTCTTAACTGGAAGAATGACACTTGCGTTTTCCCTTCAACACATGATATTACATGTATGCTTATATAGAAGTAAAGGGATGTGGTATAAAGGCACAATGAGGCAACCATCCACCAAAGACCAAAAACCTGTTTGTTACATAGTCTCATAGATCATCTGACTAACCAAGACACATCTTTTTACGGTGAGCAGAGACATTATCAAATAATTTTTACTATAATCTTTATGTGAGATCCTCCACTAATATTAGTTTTTCTTTCTTAAGGTTGTAAACCGGAAGTTTTCATGGATTTTAACAAAGGAGCCATCGTGGACCTATCATCAAATGAAATACCATGTGGCGTGGAAGGTGTTGTATCGCTCAGTGACTTGGCCTATTTCAATGGTGCTAGCAGAATCATTATCTGGAGATATACAAACTTTGACTTCCAGCATGCCGTAACTTTAAAATTCAGGTTCAAATCAGAGGCTAAGTCAAGAAGAAAGCCTCATCCTCTTATCACAAATTGTGGAACAGGACAAGAAGAGCCTTCTTTTGGCGTTATCTTAAACAGCTTTTCAGATGTCTTGACATTCTTTGTTAAAACAACAAAATCTGAAATAAAATTCCTGACTTTCAAAATAAATGTAAGTCGTAGATACTTTAATATGATAATCCGATACATAAGTAGTTTGTTTCAAAATATGTCTTCTTGAACTATATAGGATTCAATTTTATTCTGGCTAAACTGGCTAAGCTGAATAAAACAAACACGAAGCAAAGGCATTTGAAACATTTGTTAGAATATGGCTCTCAGTATAACAAATATGAAAAAGTATGATTATTGTGTCAGTTGTTCCAAACGAAAATGTTAATTACAGTATGCAATCGAAAATTTTTGATAATAATGAAAACGCCGTATGTTATTTAATGTTCAAACAATACGGTTTTTGCACAACAAAATTCATGTTTTTGGCAGAAAAAATACAATTTTCAATCAGGGTAATCTGTGTAAACAAAACGATTTTGATGGAGCCAAGAGATTCAATTGTCTGCAAAACTACCCATAAATGGAAGAATAAAAGTTAACTTATAGTTGAGGGCAAATTTTGCAGGTTTTAATCACGTCTATAATGGTTTCCGACGTGTAAATGATTACAATAGTTCAGTGGCTTTTTTTCTCGTAAAAGTTTTTGTGAAATGAGTTGCTGAACTATAATGTGATATGATTGCAATGTTGAACAATAATAACACGTTAATGAGTGTAAACAACATTTACCAACATAAACCCTTGAAAAACAAATGTTCTTGAAAAATGTTCTGCTTAATATGTTGTGTTTAGGTTTTTTTTTGTCTTCCTATAAACCATTATACAGTTAACCACATTTTAATGCAAACTGCCGTCACCCACACCCAATGACATTTAGTGACATTTCTTATCCCTTTGTTCCATTACTTAATATTTAAAAATATTCTGTGCTTGCCAGTGATGTGTACGAATTTGAAGTTGAGTATATGTTCTATTTCCTATGCGTAACAGGTTCTCTAGCATGTTCTAATAGTTGAGACAGCGAAATAGACTTTTTGTTTATGACAACTACATGCGTTTGTTAAAGATATACCTAATTTAAAAAAATACATTTTCTAAGAAGTTACAACGCAGTACTTCGTAACCTCTTTCGTCTACACTAGACTCCGATTTCATACATTATTATCTTTGTCTGGAGTAATAATTAAGTCTTGTTTTGTTTTATTTATTTTTTTGATTTTATGAATCGTTAAATTCAAGAAACAAGACAAGACGTGTAACTTGTTGCTTATTGACTCTTTGTCCTTACTTAACTCATCATGACCGTGATTTCATCAAAACACCCTGATCATGCTTTCAATTATTATATTATATTTTATTTTTAAAATCCGAAATTGTTTAGAATTTGTAAATCTCGATACACATATTGTATATATAAGATCTGTTTGTATTGTATTCTTATTTGTTAATCATTATTTGCCTCTATGAATCGTAACTTCAACAAAACCTATATCAAGGTAATGCTGTCTAGTATTTAGTCAATACATTTCTGGACAAATATGTCATTTTAATGTTTATGTTAATGTCGTCACAGTGATAATACAACTGTACTTTCGCATTAAAGTTCAACAAAATTTTAAGAGACTGACAATTATCCTATACTTTACAATTAAGGGCTAAATTATTGTTTTTAGCATGCCTCTTCCTTTTATTTGGTGAATTGATAAACTGTCGAATGCACTTTATGTCGCCTTTGAATGGAACAACTTTGATGCGGTACAATTATTTGTATATTTTGCAGCCAATGGAATGGAATGATGTTATATATTCGTATGACGGAGAACATTTGACAGGAAAAGTGAATGGTTTAGAAAAAAGAGAATCTGTTAAAGGTAGTTTTGTGTATATCTTTAATCGAAGCAGCCATGCAACAAATCTTAATCAAAATAAGACATCCAGATGTTAACTCTCGGTCTTTAATAATAGACAAGTATCCAAGTTTTCAAGGTTCAGAGAATGTTACCAAATAAAAGCACTTAACTACATCGTATTGGTATAATGAACGACTAATTTAGGTACAGTTAAAACAATGCGACAAAACATGTAAGAATATTCGAAGTTACTGAGAGCATGCTAAAAGTTTGTAATTAGATTATACAGAAATCATAGCTTCACTGTAAAATTGGTGTTTTATGTACATTCCATACATCAAAGGTGTGAACCGTGCAGAAAATACAGGTTTGTGTAACGCCTAATGCTTATGCATGTTTGGAATTTCAAGTCTAAAATAGCATAAGAAAATACAATAATTTAAACATTTTAGTTCTACTACAAACTGTAATTAAATGAACCGATATGTATTCAAAAATAACAAAACATGATGATTTACAAAATGTATCAGCTATATGTTTTATCCTACTTCAATAAGCCCTTTAAGTTGAAAACAAAACAATTATATATTGGGGACAGAATAAACACAAATAAAGATTATCACAAAAAAAAATTATTGTCTCAATAATGTGTCGAAAGAAATTTGGAAAGATGACCGAAAAACAAACATAGGATAAATAAAGTAAACGATTCAAACTTAGGCTAAATAAAGGCAACATTAGTATACCTCTAAATCTGTTATTCAATAGTATAAGACATGTGACATATTCACTGTTAACACAAGCATTCCCGATTCTAAACTGAATTCAGATTTAAAGAATTGGTCCAACTTTATTTGCGGGTATCAAATGCCCAACGCTTATAAAATTTTTTGTGTAGGCCATAATATAACACTATCAAAACGTCTTTGCAACTGACATTATCAAGTTTCTTTAATTGTAATTAACAAAATATTTTCAAGTCAACATTCCAATGAGGAAGAAACCGTATTTCTCTTCGTGGCAATTTTCTTCTGTTTTCGTAAGAGTCTGACTTCGTGAATAATGGAAAGAAGTGGGCATCAACCTTGAACTGCACGCTTCACTTAACCGGAGATATCTTTTCACTTCAATTCAATTCAAGGTTTTAGCATCTGTCCATGTCAATTTTAAACAAAGGATACAACAGGTCGTTTTCATACCTGTAGTTACATCTAAAAATTGGCAATAAAGGATCTGTGAAAACAAGTTTTATTATCTTGACCATATTTGGTTACATGTGTTCTTCTCCGTTTATTTTGTAACTGCGATGTTTGTGCTGCTACATCTTATGTTTTCTTTTTAATTTTTTTTTTTTATATTTTCCATTCTTTTTCATTGAGGTCCTATCTTAAGGACATTTATGAAATACATGTTGTTTATGCATAGCGTACACGTTTTTTAACTTAAAATAATTCTCTTATTACACAGGAAATGTCGAAATACGATCAGCAGAAATGATGTTTGGACACTGCGAAAGATATGGATATTTCAAAGGTTTCTTGGATGACGTAAGTAATTAAATCTTTTAAAGTCAAAACCATCTACCAACTTTGTAATGATTTCGGCTTCAAACTGTTTTGATTCTGATGAGTCTGGCGTACACAATTATAGTAGAAATAAAAGCAAAGAAACATAATGTGATTGCCAATGAGACAACTATCCAACAGTGACCAATCGGTAAGCCCGGTGTCTTTGATGAGTTCATTTCAGAAATTAGATACATGTTTTTTTTTTTATTGCAAATATATAGCTGATTGTCCATCTTTTGGAATAAATAACTTAATTGCTGATTAAGGTAACTAAAATGAATTTAAGATGCAAGCGAGCCTAAATTTCCAATTACCATAATAATAAATGGTATGTCTACAATGTATGACTAATGAAGGTAAAGTTAGGTTTGAAATAATAAGAAAATGGCTCCTGCTGTTCATCCACTAATACTGCTAAAACAGACGTGTTACAAAATGAATGTTATATACAACCCCGCAAATCTTAAAATGCTACTTCATCATTGTTGGTAATTGTTTCTAAAAATAATAAATACATTGCCAAGAATGATTGGGCATTGAAAGCATTGCCAGTAGATAATAAATCGAAGTTACTAACAAAAACTGAGGGAATCGCATGAACTACAAAAGGGGTGCGACCGGGTGTGTCGACAAGGTAAACGTCTTCTGTTATGCATGCATCACCCGACATGCGAATTAACACCTATTCAAACTGTCACAATTTGACATAGGACACAATCGATCAAGTTACAGTTCAGACGACTTTATGGGTATCTAAAGGTCTCAGACTAGAAAACATATCGCTATTGAGTTGAGACACTGACATATGGTATCAGTCAACTAACTGTAAAACTTATGTAGTGTCAAAAAACATAAAAAATAAAAGAAGGTCAATGATGTACATAAGACAGCAAAGACATTGTAATAATCCAAAAGGAAAATATGTGAATAAAAACAAGGGAAAAGATACCAACAAGATTCATAAATCCTACTAGTAAGCCAAAGAGAAACTGACATGCGTCATGGCAAATGTCTACTCCCATTATTTAAAGCCCGTCCATATGTATTTTAATTTGAGCTTTACCTTAATGAGTCACACTTAACTTGGTTGGTAACATTTTTCCTCACAAAAGTTTTCGAACTTGGAGTAAGCGGTAAATTAGGTTTGAAGAGATTTAACAATATTGATACATTTGTAATCCATTCATAATTATATGTAAAACTCAATCTCAGTATGTTTAAGGACATGGTTAATATATTTGATTAAATCAAGTCTGACGAAAAAATGTCATATTGAAAGTAAAAATTAAGACAATAAAATATATAATTAACATGCAAAGAAGAATGGCGAAAATACCTTCAAAAGTGTCAAATAGCTTCACTTACAAAATTTAACGTATTGGTGGGGGCGACATTTTTTCTGTCAAAGAACGTCATCAACATGGGGAATGTATTGATGGAGCGACATTAGTAAACATTTTTGCATTGTATACTTCAAAGTTGTACTTTTAAGAATTATTACTGGAAAGAATGAATCCCGAAATGACCAAGTCTGTGAAACCCAACGTTTATTATTTACCTAGTCTGATACCTTATATTTCAACCATCCATTAAGATAATTAACACTTGCAAACTTTAATCTATATTTCATGCGTTATATTTTACCTGATTAGTATGTATTTCGTGACATCTGACAACACGAAATAATATTGTTTACTAACAAAGAAAGTATTGTCGCCCATGTATATTAATTACCTTGAATAATTAAACAATTACCAAGTATATTCAAAATATGACTAAATATATATATATATATTCGTTCCGACATTTAAAATTAAAACAAATATTTCTACTTTTTGTATAAGACTAAGAAAACTACAAATGTGTATATCTTCAGTAAATGCACATGATTAAAATGGGCTTATTTTTTAAATGAAATGTTAAAACTGTTTTTTCATTTTTTTTCCTAATTTGTTTGTAAAAATGTCTTGCCTCGTATTTTTCGTAATCATAATGTTTTCTTTTTACAGGTGAAAATTTACAATTGTGTACCTAAAGAAATATGAGCATATACAGAATACTGCGTAATAATAATGCTGGACTGAGTCGGTGGTATACTGCATGTAACAATGCGTTGAATAAAAACGGAATTCGCCGACAATCTCATATTACCAAATTTCAGATGGTAATGCAAATACATTTGCGTATTTGTTGACTTATTTATTTCCATCTGATATTTTGCCAATTACCTCTAATTATTTTACTCTTCAGTGCTTGTTAAATGTAAATGTTTATTAATATTGTATACCAAAGCAATTTAGTATTGATTTTTTTTCAAAATAATGTTTTCGTTGAGCTTGTTCTACGGAAAGTGAACGGCGTGTTACTAGGTGGCTAGATAATGTCACATTCAAATTAATGATCAACGTTTTACGAAGTACGTAAAAATGTACATGTTGTATGTTAAATGATATAATTTTAAATATGTAATATTATTTGAATAGCTACAATGTAGGCACTGCAGAACTGAAACAGTTCTTGTTATGACGACAGTTCTACTGTATTTGAAATATCGTTATGTTGAACAATGTAACTCTCACTACTGTTTTGATGAAAGTTGATAATAAATCATATTTATTGTAAGCTTAAATTTATTGATATAAACAAATGGTAGAAAACTTATAATATTTTTTAAATGCTATTTCAAGATGGTACAATTCCGAAAGAATAAAACTTAATAGTTATGTTTATATTTTGTTTATTAATCTCTTAAAAGTGTATAATCCATATGATATGGAAACATATTTATAGCATATGTCTAATCATATTTTTTTATTATTGTGTACATTAGAATATCAATTTACTCATTCAACAGAACTGTATATGAAATCTTTTCTTGTTTTTTTACTGGTAATATTGGAAATGATGATACGATAGATGTTAAAACAACTGAACATAAATAACATACCAAGACAATACCACAGAAAAATTGTCAGTAGATATGAAGATAATAGAAGCCGCAAATGTTCATTCTTAACAAATCGTTTTAAATAAACAAAACAGCAAGTTAAACACTATACAAAATATAAATCACAAAATTAAGCTAGACACAAAGATAAAATAATAATAAGAGTACACTCGCCAACATAACAGTTAATATTATCAAAGAAAATACAGTCCGAATCTATACTAACCATAAAACACAATGATTACTATACAATGCCAATCAAAAATTACATCAAAATCCTTCTTTAGGGTTACACTCCTTGTGTCATAAGGAAATAAGGAAATAACAAAAATATAACAAAAATACCGAACTACAAGGCAAATTAAAAAATAAATGATGGTAAGAACTTTAGAAAGATGTTAGTCGAACATCTATAAAACCTGACAAAATCAAACGCGATCAATCAACGGAACCAATGAAAATACTATTGAAAACACTACTGTACTTGCAATCAATATTTAACCATTGTAAATTTCCGTCCATAAAACTGACAAAATCAAAAGCTATCAATCAACTTAACAAGTGAAAATGCTTTGAAAACAATACTGTACTTGCAATCAGTTCTAAAACTTCGTAAATTTCCGACCTATAAACAGGCTTTCACAGATATGCAAAGAATATCAAAGTGGTCTTAATGACTTTTGCTTAACGTATACTGAACAAATTGCAATTGAATGTTTGAATTAGTTTTTTCCTATTTTTTTTGTACAGATCGTGTTGCTCAATCGTTGGGTTTATGTGTAGAGTTTTGTGAACAGTTGTTTAGTATGATTACTTTTTTTCATTTGGCTATTGTGTTGTCTGACTTTTCTAGTGATTTCTATTGACCATTATGAAGCTCTTTCCTTTTTTGCAGTAAAAAAGCTAAAGATTCATAATGTTAATTTGATGCTCTTTAAACTTCGTATTTCATTTGGCCTTGACTGTTTTGATTCCAGCGTCACTGGTAAATCTTATATAGACGAAACGCGGGTATGGCGTTCCAAATTATCACCTTGGTATATTTGATGGTTTTTTTTTATACTCCACATCGAATGATTCCACTTGTTCGTGTTAACTTTATTTCAATTCAAACTCGGCTATAAGTCAAATTACTATTTCTCCCAAAAATAAGGCGATAAAGCTTGTGCTCTTAATCAACATACATATTAAATATACAATTATAGACTACCAAAAGCAAAAACTCTCAAACCCCTTAGGTTTTGTTTGTTACCTAGATTTACTTTCGTACTCGATTTATAAGGTTTAAAAATTGTTAAACTACTGTTTTGATTTATGCATCCAAATTGATTCAAAACTTCAACCATGACCATTTTAGTTAGAAAATACTACTATTCAGTTATCCATTCAAAAGAATTTAATTTGCAAACCGTTTTCAAAATGATGCTGTTAATTTGTTATGGATTCAATGTAAAACTACATAAGTACACCCATCATAAAACTTCACACTTCAATGTAACAACAGTCGTAGAGGTAATCGTATCATTATTCATGCAAACATTACTCTAATGTTAGACCCAGAATACGTTTTTAAACACTTAAAATGTGTCATCCGTCTTAGATTTAAATTTAATTGCACAAAATTACCAAATAATGATAAACATCCGATTATCCAAGCATAATCTTCATTCTACCAGTACGTTTTTTTATGTTTGTGTATTACACAGATACTCTTAAATAAGACTAGTTCAGAGGTTGTGGCAATCTCGGATTTCACATTGGCACAATAGTTACAAATGTAACAATTGATCATCAGAACATCCTTGTCACATAATATGGCTCATGACTTTAATGTCTTGCCAAAAAAGAAAAGGTTTACAATACAAAAATAAGATTTTATAAATTCGGCGTCCGAACCGCTTCTCTGGATTTACCTTCATCAAGAACGATCAAACCTGTTCATTTGAAAGCCCGAGATATAACGATGTGTTGAAACATTTGGAGCTTTATGACCAAATGGTACATGAAAAGCAGACAAATTCATCAAGGGTCTACTTTGCCTAAAGGACTTGAAGCCTTATTTTTCTAATAATTTCTGGATTTACAAAAGTGAATTTTTAGAATAGTTCTTATAAATTATGACAAATCTAGAGCACTGCCTAGTGAGCTGATAATACCAACATGACCAACAGTCAAACAGCGGCTTATCGACCATGCAAAAATAAATGAAAATAACACTTTATAACTTTCGACCATCCAAAGAGATTTGACGAGATCATGAATTGAAGGAAGAAGCATGGTTCTATATTTCAAAACACTCAGTTTTGGTTGCATTTTGTTGGAATTCGGATAGTCCAAAACCTGCAGTGAGTTTCTGCTCCTTGTTGAAGACGTAACTGTGACTTGCAGATAAAACAACAATGAAAGTGATTTTCGTTTGCTTTTGCAATTTTGTATCGTAATTGGTAAATCATATTCTCTTTTTGTTTTGAAAAGCAAAATAGTTAAAAAGTATGTTGATGTAAAGATTCAGTTAATTGTGGCCGAAAATATGAAAGTAGATGTTAACCTTCTAAAAATTCCAATAGCAACAAGCATTCTGAGAGTATTGCATGGCAATACATAGTCCCCTACCGGGTAAAAATTAATTTTACTGGAACAAAATGCTAACTTGTTCTATAACTTGTTATGGATGTAAACAAAAAGTAAATATCTTCAAGCATGACTAAAAACAGTGTGGAAAACTGATTATATGAGTGAAAAAAACATTAGATATGATTAATAGTTTTCTAAAATTAGATAAAGTGTAATACAGTGTATATCTATTTTCAAATTATAATCAAATATAATTAATAGTTCCAAATATTTTTTCTTTCATTTGTCACAAACTAATATAGATTTGTAACTTATCTATAAAATGTCAACAACTTTTATCTACACAATGTAATGTATTGAAATATATACATTAATAACAATAGATTATTATCTAATTAAAGGATTTATTTTCATAATTTTTTTTTATATATATTGCATTCAGAAAATTAGTTTATACTAAATAACAAACAAACCTGCAAAAAAAATCTTCAAATAATTTAACAAAGAATGTCTTTTAAAAAATGAGTTATCTCCCTTTGTACAGAAAAATGGTTTAACATAGTACTCTAACATTAGATATGGTCCAGACTCCAGAGTTATGGTCCATAACTCTGGACTAAATCATCAGACCGGAACAAAATTCGAAATTGACCTATAACTTGTCATGATAAAACTATATACTAAATATCAAATCAATATCTCCAAGAACAAAGAAAAAAAGTGTGGAAAGCAGATTTGCCGGACTGACGGATGGACTGACGGACAGACAGACAGACAGACAGACGGACAGACGGACGGAGTGCAAACCTAAAGTCCCCTTCGACTATGTAACCACCAAGGATCATTTGTGTTAATTTTAATTCCATTGAGTCATTGGCTTCTGTAAATTAGCTTTGAATGTGAAAATAAAAATCAGTCAACAAATGCAAATACCAAGTAAGCTCGAAAACTTTTTAATATTAAAGTCATATGAAACAATTTTCTTGAAATTTTAATGTTATCGAAATCATTGAACCAATGCATGCATATATACTAAACTAGGTCTTGAATACACGTTTTTTTTTATATTTATTACGAATCAATAACGTATTATCGACAAATAATATTTCATTCATAGATTGTTGATCGCAAGCTAATTAACTTTCGAGTTTGTTGCCGAAGTTTACCGGATCATGACAATGATAAACAATAAAAACAGAGCACGTGGAAAACGTGACAAATAAGTGAATTGAAAGAGCCTTGACATTTGTTTTTTATATTTTCCATGCGTTCCCATTTGTTACATAAACTTTTCCTTAACAGTTGTTAAATGATTCGTTGTATCAAATTTGTTCTTTAAGAATCTGGTATTACTATTTATCTTCCAGAGCACGTTTGTTTACATTCTTTCATCGCGGTTTTCCCCTCGCACTTGCGCATTGCGGTGGATGAAGTTATAACCAGCGAAATCGTAGTAAAGGTCATTGCATATGCGAAATTATCGGCAAATTAGTGTCTGGGAAGTCAATAATTCAATATCGGTACATTTATGAAAATTTTGATAATATAAAGGATTTTCTTTTTTAAAAAAAGTTCATGTTCACTTCTTTTAGAGTAAAACTTAGCCATTCAAGTATATTAAACATATTTAACTTTTTTTTTCAAATTTGAAGTTTCATATGACTTTAAAACAAATCCAATAAAAAATGCAAAATACTATTATATGTCCTACAAATGCTACTGTCATCTAGGTCTTTGGCAATATTAGCAGAAAGAATCCTGGTATGCAATAATTTGTATATGACATGAAAATTATAGTGCAAATGTGAAGAATTTTCTGAGATTAAACTTGCTTTTAAAATGTTCGGGAATCAGTTTTCAAAAATCATTGCTTACTTCAGATATAACAATTAACACATGCAGAAGTTTGGTCAGGCTTTTGCTTCAAAGAATATAATGCCAAATACCTAAATTATAGTACACCACAATTATATGAGGCAGCACAAATTAATACTGAAAACCAATTTAATTGATATTCCTTTATTATAAAATTATGATCACAGTTCATTTCACATTTTCATTTCAAACAACAATTTCCAATATCTAGGAGCATGGATATAAAGTTTGTCAAAAATAATAATACATAAAGCTGTTCAAGAATTGATCGTATGGAAGTGGGTCTTATGGCCCGTTTTTAAAATTGGTGGGGTGATGATTTAAGATAGCTTAAATACTTATAGGAAATAATCAATGAAAATTTCAAGCATGGAAGTGTAAAATAAAAATTGCCTTCAGACACCAGCCCCCCTCTCCCATATTATATTCATTTCTGGAACAGCCTTGTTTGTATTGGGACTATGTATATGGGGATGACAAAAAAAGTAATGTGAAATGCTGAAAACACTGTAGCAATTACTAATTAATTATTTAACTTTGAATCATTAATGTTGGTCCACTACTCTATCGTCTGATTATTGGATTATTTCAAAATTATTTTAAGGGGTGAATTATGTTCCAGCTCGATTGTCATTTACAATGCTAAACGTTTGTTATCTGACAAAATTTTTGTTGTATTAAGTAGCAATTAGTTGTTTTAGAAATAAAACACAACCTAAATGTTATTGTTAAATACATATGCACATTCATGGCTCTACAACCTGTCGATACCTGTATCTTGGCATTGCACAAGGTCATGTGTTTCTCTGACTGTTTATGACGTCTTTATACTAAATCCATTGGATGTTGGATGTGTATTGATTGATAATTTAGTCTTAGATGCATGATTTTTTTTATTAGTTGTTATTGGCTTTGAACTAGCTGTCAGTAACTGCGAGTACTCTATGATCTGTACTTAGTGTCTTTTTGTTGTTAGGATGTACAAGTACCCGTCCACGTCGACTCTGTGTTTTTGTTCGATGTATTTCTCTTTGTATCCAACTGATGAGTTTAGCCTTTTTCAACTGATTTTTATAGTTCTTATGTTGTACTGTTACACCACTGTCCAAGGTTAGTGGGAGGGTTGGGCGCCTGCTAACATGTTTAACCCCGCCACATTCTGTATGTGCCTGTCCCAAGTCAGGAGCCTGTATTTCAGTGGTTGTGGTTTGTTGCTGTGTGTTTTTCTTTCATTATTTTGGACATAAATTAGGCCGTTAGTTTTCTCGTTTGACTTGTTTTACATTTGTCACTTTGGGGCCTTTTATAGCTGACTATGCGGTATGGGCTTTGCTCATTGTTGAAGGCCGTACAGTGACCTATAGTTGTTAATTTCTGAGTCATTTGGTGTCTTGTGGAGAGTTGTCTCATTGGCAATCATACCACATCTTTTTTATATCTAAAGAAAAAGGTCTATGTTAATATTTTTTTGTTAAAAGGTCTCCAATACTTGATATGGTATCCTTAAAACTACAACAAAAGCATCTGCATTTAATACAAGATTTCTAAGAAGAGCCAAAGATGCAAGATATCTGTTTTCTGTGAAAACTAAAGACCAATTATTGTTATTTTATCTTTTACTGCTTTGAGTTTTAAGTTTTTGTAAACATTTTTTTTTTATTTTTGGCTGTACCATTTACACTCAATATATTTCATTCCTATAGCACTACAAACGACAGTTTTGCTACTTAAAGATGACCATAATTCTTGTATTTGTCAAAGACCTTTAATAAATATTTTATTAACTTAACTTTTGCTTTATAGAAATAAATTTTGTGCACATATATATCAAATTTGACTTTTAATTTATTATAACCGGTTCTTGGGATTTTTTCATATTCTCCCGTAGGGCGGGGATGCATTAAAATAGGAAAGGTTTTTCACCGTTATTAATTATGGTAAATGTCTTAGATGTTCTAAAAAGTGTATACCAGCCTTGTACATCCTATATTGCTCATCTTGCATTCACATGTTTTCATTGTATCAACAATGGACACAACTGACTCATCATTTGTTTCCATTATAAAAGCACCTTCAAATTTTAGGATTTTATCAAATTAAAATTGGCCTATTTGTTTCCAGAATTAAAGATCTATTAACCAAAAAAGTTCTAAGTAAATATTGTGTTACTTGTTGAGAGCTATTTTTTGGATACCAACTAATCTAAAATTTCTACTTATAACATGTTCAAATGGTCTGAATTCATTATTTACATGAGTGAGTTTTTTTAATACTTTCAGTTGGTCAGTGGAAACACCAGAGACAATTTGGAGATTACACAACTTATTGATATTTTTTTTTGTACTTTTTGGTTTCACTGACCCATTGATTTTTAAAAAAAGTGTAGAATGGATTTTAAACGCTAAGTGATGACAATGACTCACATGGCTTTATACAGTTGAATTAAAAATAAATTAAATTAAATTATATTATATTTTCATATATAAATTGCACAAAATTACCCTTAAATCCTATGATCATAAAAAATTAAACGGTGGTAGACCAAACTGTTCTGGCACAAAATGTTCTAGGGAGTCTAACACTAAAGAACATTTATGATTATGTGTATCTCTATCTTGTTCTTCGTGTGGTACCCATACACACTTCATCCCTGCTGCATGAGCTGCATCTACACCATTTTGTGCATCTTCAAACACCAAAACCTTTAAATATAAAGATACTGGTGTGAAAATACTAAGACTACATGCCACAAATGAAATAAATAAACCCACTACTAATGTCAAAAAATAAAGCCTCTTTTTCTGCTCTCCCACATTCATTTAAATGGAATAGTCCTTCCTGTGCTGTACATTCTGACTTAATGAACTCTTAAATCACCAAAACATCCTTATAACTACATCAGAATTTGCTAGTCCTCTGTGTATTTAAGAAATCTACTGTATTTTAATTATTTAAATGTTTACTTATTCTTGAATTATATTTTTTGCTGAAATAAAGCTTTCAAAGATAAGTCCTTATAAAATTTCTATTGTCTGTCTTTTTTTTTTACTGTTTCCGTGATATTAAAACCGTGAATTTAGTGTGGTATATAAAGTTTGAAGAATGTAACACTTTCAAGGAAACTGCTGAAAGAAACTATTTCATTTTGATGGATACAGCTCATTCCTGGTCCCATTAAAATAGTTTTGGGTATTGGTCTTTTCTTCCCTTCATATTTCCATTAATGGTCTTCACAGCGGTATAACATGTTACTTTAATTATTCTTCCCTTAGTTTATTTATTTTGTATTTACATTGTATCATAGATCTAATTTATTTGTTCAGTGTATGTTCACTGGTGTTAATATGTCTTTTGATTGAGTTAAGCCATTTCAATTGATATTTTATAGTGTGTCTTTCTATGTTGTGATGTTACACTATTGTTTCAGATTAGGGTGAAGGTTTGGTACCATTAAAACGTTTAAACCCGCTGCAATTGTTTGCACCTGTCCTAAGTCAGGAATCTGATGTTCAGTAGTTGTCGTTTGTTGATGTGGTTCATAAGTGTTTCTCGTTTCTCATTTTTTATATAGATTAGACCGTTGGTTTTCCCGTTTGAATGGTTTTACACTAGTCATTTTTGGGGCCATTTATAGCTGTTACGTGTGAGCCAAGGCTTCGTGTTGAAGACCGTACTTTGACCTATAATGGTTTACTTTTATAAATTTTGACTTGGATGGAGAGTTGTCTCATTGGCACTCATACCACATCTTATTAAATATATTTGCATCCCTTTATAAAGTCACCAAGCATAGGTTACCATTAATGAATAAAAGTCGGCAAATCTATATTTTCAAACATTGAATTGAGAGACTGAATTTTTTTTTAAATGTATGTTGAAGAATATAGATTTAATTGTAATTTAAGTAAAACAATATCAACACACCTTTTCTGGACTAGGATTTTCTTTGAATCTTTTAGCACATATAAGGAATATATCTGGTGCTGGTTTACCATGTTTAACCTCTGGATCATCTGTGCTTAGCACAGAATGTAAAAACAAACTGAAAAAATCTTTGTGATTTCTGGTTTTAAGCTCCATCAAATGTTGACTTGATCCTGTTGCTATGGCAATAGGAATGTTGTGTTTGTGTAAATGTCTCACCAATTTCTCTGCACCTATCAAAAAAAACAATCGTTGTGAAAAACATCTTAATTATAATGTAACTCATACTTTTAAAATTATCTTTTAGATACAATGTTACCAATTCTATTACTGTAAATTTGTGACCGGGAAACTTTTTTTACATTCCTTAACATGCAAAATAACTTTACTTGTAATGAAATTATTGTGCAAAGGAGGAAGTATGATAGAAAAACAAAGGATATGGGGTATCAATCCATGATACAATATCAGACTATGCACAGCAAAAAACACACAAAAAGCAAAGGAACAGCACTTTTACTGATACATATAAGAGCCCTAATTTGGCCCAAAAAATTGCAAAAATATTTCAAGACTTTCATAATTATGTTAAATTTATTGATAAATGAATAGGCTAATATAATTTAGAGCAGAACGTTACCTTGTGATGTTAATCTGACTTCATAAACATTTTGTAAATTGACAGATTTTACCAAACTGGGCAATTTTCATATACATGTAGTTTTTTGATAAAATAGATATGAACAAAGACTATTTACATACAATGACAAACTCAAAATATATTTGGGTACAGCCTTTGTTCTTATTTAAATATTTAATGACAAGATTTCAAAATGAGGCAATTTCAACCAAATAAGAAGTTCAGTAGTTTCTGATAAAAGTCTGACAAAACATTTTAAGTTCATTCAATAAATTGAAAAGTTCAAAATATCTTCAAACAGGAAGTAGATACCTGACATATTAGAAAGTGCTCACACTTTACAACTCCTCACTGTTGAGCTGATGACCAAATATAAAGTCATTATCTTTAGTAGTTCCTGAGACAAAGGTGACAAAATCTTTTAACTTCATTCAAAAAATTGAAAAATTTAAAGTATGGGCAAACAGGAAATAGGTATCTGACAGATCCACAAAATGCTCACATGTTTAAACTCATCACTGTTAAGCAGCTGGCAAAATATGAAGTTATTCTGTTCAAGAGTTTCTGAGAAAACTGAGAAAAAATATTTGTAGGACTAACAGACTGATGGAAGGATGGACAATGTAATTGTAATATAACCCCATTCTAAAAGTGGGGTATAACATTTGTTATTTATATCTTTTTTGTTATATACCTGGCATGAAATCAACTTTTGGAAATAATACTTCTTGCTCTTTGTGTGCCAATGCTAGATATTCTTCAACTGTTAAAGGTAATTCTAATTCATCTGAAATTAAATAAAAAATCACCAATTATTACCTTAGTTTACAAACGTTTGCCCAAATAGCATGTATAAATGTATTCAATTATTTAACTCTATTCTTCATATAGCTGAATACTGTTGTTGTGGTTAAAATATTAACTTAGCTAACCTATCCTCCACAGAGATAACAATATCTTATAGTTTGGCATGCAGGTGATAATTCAAGTCCCAAGAGCAGATAACTGTTGTTGTCTTAAGGGAAAGCATTTAGTTTCAGGATTGAAATCAATCAAATGAAAGTCTGCATGCTAGCTAACTTGAAGCTTTACATGTAGTAGTTTTCATGTAAAATGTGTAAATTATGTGGTACTGTTACGTACATAATGTAATATATTCTTATAAATATTGTAATGTGGAATTTATAAGTGTACTCGATGAAATATTCAAAAGAGATTTTTAATTTCAACCATGTTCTTTAAAATGTTGCTTTAATAAATGAGCAAAGTAACTGTAAGCATTTGCTGTAACATTTTTATGAAGTTGTTACAATATATTATGTACATATCATGTCTCCTTCTATTATAGTTCACTGAAATGCAGCAAATTGATGCAATGTTTATGTTGAAGTCAACACTTTTTTTTATTTCACTGCCCTTCACTTCATCACAGCATTTATACCATACATAGAAAATATTGCTTGATTTTATTCACACCAGATAGCATAATAAAGTATTTCCAAAAATCATTTTTTTCATACCTGCAGAAGGGTAAAGCTCTTATGGTCTTTGTCATATATTTTGAATGCATGAAGATCACTCAGTGCAACCATATTCGTTCAAGTCTTCATTCTCAGTCCTATAATTGATTTTGAAAAACTTGCAACAGCTAAGCCTACTTTTGTTATTAGGTAATTGACATATTTAACTTCAAAGCATTTTTCTAGGAGGGGTTTAGCAATTAAAAATTATTCTGATTGATGTCTTAATTAGTGTATGTATAAGTTTTATGATGGTGTCTTTAGTCCCCTACCGACAAAGTCGAAGGGGACTTTAGGTTTGCAACTTTGCACTCTGTCCGTCTGTCCATCCGTCAGTCCAGCAACTCAGTTTTCCACACTTTTTTCTTCGTTCTTGAAGATATTGATTTGATATTTGGTATATAGTTTTATCATGACAAGTTATAGATCAAGTTCGAATTTTGTTCCGGTCTGATGATTTAGTCCAGAGTTATGGTCCATAAAAAAACTCCATAACTAATGTTAGAGTACTATGTTAAACCATATAATCTGTACAAAGGGAGATAACTCATTTTTAAAAAAACATTCCTTGGAAAATTGTTTGAGGAATTTTGTGGCAGGTTGATATGTTATTTTGTATAAACTAATTTTCTGAATGCTACATGTATATATATTTTGTGTACAAGATGTAAGTTTGTACAAATTATAATTTGTACAGGGTTTTTGTACAAGTTATAAGTTTTTTGACACATACCTTCTTGCACCAGGTGATACAGGTTTATCTTCTAAAATGTATCAGTTTAATGTTTTAAATTCAAATTTATATACTTCAACCTAACATTTAGTGCTATTCTCCTTGTCCTCAAACTGGAAATAAGGACACCAGTATTGTTTAAATTCTAATTTTATTTTTCTCCTTATACCAAAATCATATCCATCAAAAGTCTTTTTGAGTTCTTATAATGTTTTTGGAATCAATGCTCAGTATTAGACTGTATCATGTAGTTGTGAAAATATGACAGAAATATACGAAACAAAAGACTGTGTGCTTTCATCATCCATTTGTGTTAAGCGGTTCATAAAACACTGATAACTTGTACAAAAAATCTGTACAAATTATAATTTGTACAACATGACAACTTGTACACAACATATACATATATATATTTTTTATTAAGTGAAATCCTTTAATTAGATAAGAATCTATTTTCATTAAGGTATATATTTCATTACATTACATTGTGTAGATAAAAGTTGTCAACATTTTATAGATAAGTTACAAATCTATATTAGTTTGTGACAAATGAAAGAAAAAATATTTGGAACTATTAATTATATTTGATTGTAATTTGAAAATAGATATACATTGTATTACATCATATCTAATTTTAGAGAACTATTAATCATATCTAATGTTAGAGTGTTATAGGTTTTCCACACTTTTTTTTATCATGCTTGAAGATATTGATTGACAATTGGCATGATTGGTATATAGTTTTATCATGACAAGTTACAGATCAAGTTCAATTTTTGTTTCAGTCTGATAATTTAGTGCAGAGTTATGGTCCTTGGACTTGAAAAATTCACTCATATATTCAGTTTTCCACACTGTTTTTAGTCATGCTTGAAGACATTGACTTGATATTTTCTTTTTGTTTACACCATGACAAGTTATAGAACAAATTAGCATTTTGTTCCAGTATAATGATTTTTTACCCGGTAGGGGACTATGTATTGCTATGAATGCTTGTTTATTTAGTTTTTTTTTTGTTTTTTGGTGTTTTTTTTGGGGGGGGGGGGGGGGGGACTAAGGAGGTGGGAGGAGGTGGTTTGAATATAAATAGAAATACTTTAAAATCAAATTGTTTCTTTCAAGTTTTTACTGGATAATCCAGGAATTATCAAATGAATGTACTTTATATTGACCATTTCTACTGTATAAATTATAATGTTATCTTGGTTATGTAAAATGTTGTGTGATCTATTGTGAGTGGAATGTGAGAGCTTCATGGGAAAAATAATGTTTGTACTAATTGAGCTTACCCTCTTGAAATAAAGATGATAATTATTATAACTGACTAAATAGCATTGAATGTAAAACATTAAGTATGAAATACCAATGATTATCTTTGATGCTTCAGTTTCTTTCTTCCCCATTTGACGACATTTGATTGCCCATGTAAAATTCTTGCCATATTTAGATACAATGCCTTGTGTAATCTGTGTATACAGCTTTTCTGTATCTGAAATAATAAAAAAGATTAATGTTTCTTATTTTCTCTTTTTTCAATCTGTCTTATAATCATGATAAAGATAAAGAAGAGAGACAAATGTTTTTTAAGATTAAAAAAATATATAAAAGTAAAGCTAGAATAAAATCCAGTAATGGAAGAAAAAGTAAACAAATGTGAATAGGAAGATAGTTTTAACCAATTTTGGAAGAAAAAAATGACACACCAAAATCATTTAAAAACAATTATGACAAAGTCTAATAAATAATGGGAACACATGAGAAATTAAAATCAAACATCAATCTATAACCTCACTTATTATACATGGGTCTAAAACGCTGAAGTGGAAAAACATGGAAGTGTAAAATCAATTTCTGTATTCTTGCGCAAAACCAGATCAGTATCAATCCTGGAGATGAGCATGGCAGCTTAATGGAAACTTTTAAGTGGTCTTTCGGAGAAATAAGACTAGTTTTTCTTGATCTACAGACAATCATTCAGCATGCAAGTTGAATTATATGTTAAAAAATTGTATATTTGTAATACTTGTTCTGTATGTTTTTTGTGAGGGCCTCAAGGTAGATTAGTGAATTCTAATTGAGTCACCCTCTTTAAACATGTTAAATAAAGTCATTATTATTATTAACATAAGAAATTGATTTTCTGTACATAAACAGGCAGTTTAGAAATTTCTTATTAAGGCACATATACAAAATTTGGACAAGTGGTACATGTATTCTGATTTTAAATTATTATGATTAAGTTGTTAAAAAAGTTAATGGTAAACCTTGTATTTTGTAAACTAAGTCAAGTTAAATCAGACAGCAATAATTCTTGACATATAAAATTAAAAATATATGTACTTTTACAGTATATAAGTTAGAAAACCTACCTAGTAGAAGCCCATCAACATCGAAAATAATGTGGCTTATGGTAGAAGACATCTTGGATTTTTAATTTAAATAGGTCCCTGATCTGGACTACTTGAATATCAAAACTAAGAGTGGGATTCAGAAAATTTGCGTTTTTGTCTCATTCTGATGAAGTGTCTTGTTTTGATTTCAATATTTGTTTATGAAATGACTTGTTTTGAATGATTTCATCATGTTTGATGAAATGCCTTGTGTTGATTTCATCATGTTCATCACCATAAATGTACCCTATAAATTTAATGTACATGTTGCATCCGGTTAACATGGTTAAACAGAAATATTTGAAATTCCATCTTTTTTTTAAGAAATATAGCATGGCATCCATAACAGAATCTTAAATAAGAAAATCATTTCAGATACAAAATGTATGTAGCATCACATTATCAAGATGCACTCATGCAGTACCATAGCTCTTATGGTCCTTGTGATTTTTTTTGATTTTTTTTTGTAATTGTGAACCACACAAAATAAGAACACAAGGACCATAAGAGGCTACTGTTCCAAAGCTACCAGGCTGCAGTACACACTACCATGATGCTAGAAGACACAGAGAGAACACTGTAATACATGAAAAGGCATTAACATATGCTTCTTTGAAATTCGACAGTGGTGTATTTTCGACTAAAAGGTAAATCAGGAAAGTAATATGGGATTTATTATAGAAACTTCGTCTTTGTGGGGTCAAGTCATCCTGTTTCTGTCATTCAACAGTTCAACAGCCCTAAGACCCTTCTAAGGCCCAACTCAAACACTTTAATTGGTTGCAGTTATAAAAACATTTTCATAGTCATAATATTATAAACTAGGCATATTTCCTTTCAGGTAAACTTTTTCTGTATACAATATAAAGTCATACCCAGTAGAAGCCCATCAACATCAAAAACAATGTGACTAATGGGGGCTGACATCTTGGATTTTGTAACTCGAAAATAGGTCGACGGATTTGGACTACAACTTAGCTCCGGAAAACTATCGACAGTCGGTTAAAAAGTCATTAATATTACTTTAAATAGCATGAAATAAACCTTTTATCGCCAGCTTATATCAGGTTAACCTAATATTGGATTAAAGAATACCACGATTGTTACATAAATTGATTTATTGATCGGTTATTCAGGTATAAAAAAGGTAAAACAATGTCATTAAGAATACAGATTTAAATTCCTTTTAAGTCATGTCTAAGCATATCTTTTCAAATTTAAATCGTCTGCGCAGTCAGCGGAAGCACTTTCAACACCATAACAGTATTTTTGTAGATATTAAGCTGAAGTGGCAACTCACTAAATTATAAATTAATAGTTGTGCAATCGTCATTCAGTTATTGAATTTCGATATGGTTTTCAAAATAACACAACATGACATAACTTCACTATAACGGACTTTAAAAATACATGTAAGTATGTTTAACTATCAATGCTTTGTCGTGTACTAAAGTTAGGTGCATATTAGTTTCGTTTTTTTTCTTCAAGTTGGTTACTACTAGTCAATCAACATCATTACTCCTTTCTTCAAGTTTTTCATGTTTACAGTTTTTACTGGACTTCAGTGCCTATTGAAGGTTGATAAATGATGTGTTCTTACTAGATCTTAATTACCTGAAGGGTTGTCATGGAACACATGATAAACTATTGTTATGAACATCTAAATTAAGACGTTAACTTCAAGTGGGCCCCAGTGATACATTTGCACGCTGCATATTTCTTATCTATAAGTACAGGAAAGATCTATAAGTATAGTAGGGTCTGGGTGGGGTTTACAGAGTAGAGAATAGCGGGCGGAAAAGTGCAGAATACAGGGCAACATACATAACGAATAGAGAAAAATAGGCTAAGAAAATAAAGAATAGAGAATAGTGGGATGCTAAAATATAAAGAATAGAGAATAAGGGTAAACATAAATAAGGAATAGAGAAAAATGGTCTAAAAAGATATGAAGGATCCCCATCCAGAACCTTGTATAGGAAAGCCTGTTAGGCGGATGCAGCATTTAATTTATTGGAATGTACTTAATTTGAAATAGTTATACATATTGCCTACATCATTAATGTGTTAATAGTTTTATGTGTAAACCTTTTCAATACCTGATATAAATGTCCCATTTGTATGGGAGTTCGTGTAACTGTTGCCAAATACCCAATTTAAACAGGAGTTTGTCACAGTCAGGTTGTAAGACCCATTATATCAGTCAGTGGTGTTTGTCGCAGTCGGAATTGTTTCAGTATAGAATTGTTTTGGGTAAACATTCGATCTTGGTTCACCTGGTTAATTGATTCAGTTGTTTGCTTAATTTCTCATTACACTGGTAACATGCATTTTCATGACGAATGATATGACCATAAACAAGCTAAGCACGGTCGGTTTCTGAAATGAAGAGACATTTTTTTTACTGCGTCGGTTAATTTTCATGACAAACAAAATCAAGCATTGGTATTATAATCATGCCAGTGCCGAAATGATAGATTGTACAATTAGGGACTGTAAGTCTATCAGCAGTGGTGCCGATCCAATTGCAGCAAAACAAAAAGCATGATCAGATACCAATTTCCTTCAGTTCAATATGTGTTATGGAAAAACATTCATCATGTACAATGTACGCTTGAGACAAACAGTTTGGAAAGTCAAAAATAGAAAACGTTTGAAAGCATAAATTTCCAAAAGACATAAACAAAACAACCAAAACCGCCATAGGGCAACGGGTTTCATTGGTAGAAGGGAAAAATCAATATGACGACATTGCTATACGCATTTTATGGGTCACACTCATTGATTAAGTACAAACAGATTAATACACTTGTATGATGTCTTGAATATTCTCTTACAGCAGCTGATAAACAACATATAAAACAAAGTCGCATGTTTCCACAATCGGAGTCACATGATCATGCAATGCTTACAAATCACTTAAAACTTCGGAAAAGCTCGAAAAAAATATTCTTATGGCACTGTCAACGTATATTTGTTCCGCCTAACTGAAGTTCCACTGGAAACTTTGTTATAAACAATGTCATAATATCTGTTCCTGTTGGAACAAATACTCTATACCATTTATTCCGTTAGGAACATTTACTGTAATATTTATTCCAGTGGAAATAATATTCCAGAATATTGTTTCCTTTTGGAACTTATATTATGTAGGAACTTCTATTCCGTGACAACCAGACTTTCTCAAATTAAACATAAACTATATATATGACAGAGACCTCGGGTAAGTGACTTTGTCTCAAATGAGGGAGAATATCGATTCGATCCCCGATTTGGTCAAGCCAAAACAATGTTAAATTGCAATAGACTCCTTTCTCAACTTATCACACAGTATTAAAGAATAAGAGAAAATACTGGTAAATTGGACATTTTTGTAAGATAGAGAGTCTTGCAAACTGCTTCCTTCTGAACAGCATGGACCTGTCTAATTATGTCGATTGGATACAAAACATAGCTGTTTTATATGAAAGTAATATCACTATAATCGTCCTGCTATGATATGCATGTAAAATTTAAAGCCGGGACCATGCATCCATAATTCATCTTAGTATCGACAAATTGATAGACTGTTATCACATGAAACAGTATCAATTTTACTGCACCAGATCGTATTTCGACAAAAATGTCTTTTCAGTGATGCGCTAGGCCAAACTGATTGAAAAAACAAAACCTTAATATAGCATTAACGTTAAAGTACGGATATAATCGAAACGTATTGCCAAGTCTGGAAAGGAAATAGAGCTATGAATGAGGGGATACGTCCATGCCTTAATTTTAAAGGATTTCCATAGTAGAACAGTATCTGTGTTTTCATGCAAGTACTGAAGTACTGAACTTATACGCTGACGAGATCCTCGTGAAATAACAGTCAACCAGCAGATGAGTCTGCTTTTGGTAGTCATAACAGACATACAATAGTACCAAATTAATTGCACCAGATTAGCATTTCGACAAAATATGTCTAGCTCTTTTTTGCTTCCGCGATGCTGGAATCCAAATCATTTGAAAATCAAAACGTAATATCAGAGACAATTGATAATAGATAATAGAAAAGGACCAAACAAGTCCTTTGATTCAAAGTCCGTGTTTTGCTGAGAGATGCTTGAAACATTATGCCTAAAAATATATGAAAACGAATGTACAAATAGCTTTATGTTTTTATATTTTGTCAAAGTTTTACTGAAATCATGTCAGTAACTTCAGATGCCTTACTGGTACATAATACATATCCACTGTTGTATAAATAGCAAGGTTCATGTTTTGCCAGACTTTATAGATCATCATAATTGTAGTTATTTACAAACAAAATGATCTTGTATTTATATGAACTTTACAATTAAACATTCGATCAAAATTTTTAAACAAATTTTACTATTTTTTTTTTCATTTCCAGTTATCCAACGAAATGTAATGGCTGACAAGAAAACAGAGTATGAATAACCTTTTTGGATTTAAATCTCCTCGCAAAACTACTACATTTACATTTGATGCCGAAATAGACACGTTAAGGGCAAATACTGGGAGGACCAGCTACGATGCTGCGGTCGATCGGACGAGATATACTGAGAACAGCAATGACTTTTATGCATCTAAAACAGAAATGAATAACCCTTTTGGACCTATATCTCCTGGGAAATCTACATTTGATGCCGGAATAGACTCGTTAAGGGCAACTGCTGGAAGGACCAGTTACGATGCTGCTGTTGATCGGACTAGATTAAAGGAGAACAACGAGGACTATTATACATCCAAGAAGAAAATAGACGATGATAGAGGTTCCTTAAGGGTATTCTATCCTATTACAGAGGTGTGGAAAAAAGAAAAAGCCGAACAATTCAAAATAAAAGTTGAAAAGAGCTTTAGGTTTGGACATATGAAAAACTTTTACGATAGAACCGCCCCAAAGGAGACTATTTCTGTTGAAGGAGACGGAAATTGTTTTTTTCGTGCCATTAGTATGTGTATAATTGGTTCAGAGCACGAGCATTTGCGCGTTCGGGAACTCATTACTAAACATGTTGGAGAAAATCCTGAATTATATCGAACTTTTTTACTAAGTCGAGGAGGCATGAATCAGTACTTAACTAGTATGAGAAGACCTCGAGAATGGGCAACGGATGTCGAAATTTTAGCTGCAGCTACTTTATTAAAGACCGTCATTGAAGTTTATTTTCCATGCCGAGTGAAAGGAAATATTGAATTCAGATGGCAAACATTTAAACCTCTGACGCATCAAGAAATAACATATCCAGTAATTTATTTGTCGAATAAAAATGATCATTTCGATCCAGTTTTAGATGTCAACGTAGAAGTTGAGATAAGCAGAAGGAATAACCAACCAGAATCTCCAAGAAGATCACGTGACAATTACCATGATCCTTCTGTATATAGCACCCCAGTGTCGAAAAGCTATGCTCATGACTCCACGTTTAATCGAATACATGGTAGGCCTGGCTCAAACTATTCAAACTCGAATAGTCATTATAATCGAAACCCGTCAAGATCACATCCGAATGTTCAATTTTAGACTGTTTAAATGAATTTCAGATTTTCAAGAGTGATTGCAGTAATGTAATTGCTTGGGAGTTGTCGTAAAGTATTCATTTGACATTGAATCATCCCGTAGTCATAATAGTGTTGTTTGGTTGAGGTTCTTTTCCAAAAAGAGTTCCGTATAACTCAATTTGAATGGAGAGGTGTATTGATTGATTAATTTGATTAAAGATTGGCAGATTCCAGTTTTTGAAATATTATAAGACAACTATCCACCGGAGTTCAATGACGAAGATACAAGCAATCGTAGGTCACCGCCTTAAAACTTATTTAAAACAGAAAATTAAAACAGAAAAAAAACATGTCATAGAATGAATAATTAATTTTGATGTTAACGCCATTTATAGTTATAAAAGCAAGCGGATATGAAAAAAATGCATGTAAATGATTATTTTATATTCAGAAAGTATGAACGGAACAAGCAGTTCAATAAATCATTAATTTTGCTTGGCTTATGGGTATATGAAGACTTGTTCATCCCGAAAAGTTATATTTCCCTCGGGTGATGCCTTGGGAAACATTAATGTTCTTAGGTGAACAAATCTTTATCCCTACGGCAGGGCAAATAAATGTATAATGTCTCTTTAGTTTTTCGTTTGATTTTTAAAATCGGATCATTCATGTACATGTACAGTCAAATTTAGATCTCAATAGCACGTTCGAATCAAATTAGATTCAAGAAAAAAATTGCAATCAAAATTTTAAATTTGAAGTACTGATATTCCAAATAACACAATTTTATTGTGAAAAATCTATGCAAGTATAAATGATTATGTATTCACTGCATGCTGATATGTAAGCTTTCGGTTGTATTTTATGAACAAACCAATAGGTCGATAAAAATATGTATGAGAATATAGAAAAGATTGTTACATTTTTCGAACCCCGTAATTTAGGTCTCTTTAAACAGCTACATTGTAAATATCATGTGTTTATATATGGCAGAGAAATGTATATATTGCCTTGCCTTCTTAATGATTCGTCTATTTCCTTTAACTTAATAATATTATTTAATGTTGTCATTGTTTAATACTTTGATTGCTTGTTATTGTTGTTAAAATGTTTGCAGAATAAAAAGTGACAAAAAAGATGGTTTGGTTTGTTTAGCGTATAATATGATAGTCAATTTTACAACTCCATTCAGATCCCCCTTTTTACATGAAAATTAATGAATAAATAATATTAATAAAATGCATCGATAGGTCGAAAAACAATGTCTTCAACAATCGTGTACGAATAAGGAACAATGTATGATGATTTTTTAAGGGTCTGATGATAAGGAAAGGATTACAAGTCTGAAGTAATCAAGAATTAAAAAACAAAGGTACTTCTCAAACGAAGATACTGATAAGTCAGTAAAATACATCAGGTACATATATATATAACTTTATTTCCTCTATGATAGAGATTTGGTGTACATGAAGTATATAAAACAGAAAATTAAACAACAAAGAATGTAAGTTACTGTTTCAAGTTAAAGAAGAGAAAACATGAGCACTGTCTATTATGGAGATAACGGACACATATTCTATCGACTGTGAAAACCTATATATGTAGATTTTTTCCACACGACGAACACAAATCTTGGATAAAAAAGTCAACTCGTCATTTTCTAATTCATATGACGTATTGCATGAGAGAATTGTCGTTGTGAATTCAGGTGCCTTAAAAGGGCATTAGTTCTCCAATGCCTGTTCGCCGATCTTACCGAAAATCTCATATTTGATTTATAACATAGTAAAACATATATCCAGATAAAAAAAAGTCAAAACGATTAACCATACATTGACTTGTTGTAATATATCAGCAATGTGTGCGTATTTTAGACTTGACACCATCTAATCATCCATCGAGATGACCTCCGAAGACTGTCGCTGGTCATAATACACAATATAACTATAAATATGAATAGACTGACAAGAACGTGCAATCATATGATGGCGATTTTTCTAGGCCTGTTTGATTACATGTTATAGATTAAACATATTTGTAAAGAATCGTTATACCTGTATAAGATTAACTATTTGTTGTGAGACTACGAAATGGCTCGCTCCATTGTTTCTCTTTTCACTGTTGACAATACTTTTTTTTATGAATGAAAATCTTAACAACATACTGAAAACATGTGCAACACATCTCCACTAAGGGTCAAGTTAAAGTTTGCATGCATACGGATGCACATGAGATGACTTGCAAGTCAATAATGCATTGGTCAGTGAACAATGTTTTAGCTTATATTGACGAAATTGGACCAACATAACTTTATTCTTTCTATATATCGCTTTTAAAAATATTCGAAACAAAAAGACTTATCTTACTTTAATGTTTTGTCTGATTCGTAGATAATGCCTTAAAGGTCTAGCTAGGATGTACAAGAAACATAACCACTTCTAAAAAATATGGAAAAAGGCCAATTTTTAGCTGTTTGTAGCCAAAACAATTATCCGATCAAAAACTAGAATATAAACTTTACGTAAACATTTTTTTTTATTGAGAATATGCTGGGCATTTTGATTATTTCTATATTGTTTTGATCTTACATAAACCAACTGTTTTTTACATTTTGATCTTTTGGAGCGGTAATTTTCCCGTTTTCCTTTTGATAATGTACATTTGTAATTTTACTTGATCCTTGCCCTGTCCTGTGATTATGGCACAACAACAAATATGGATTAAAAAGCTTTTGAACTTAAATAATACAGTAGTGACATGATAGTGTGATACCCCTTTTAATGTCACCGCTCTAGAATAATGATATGAAATTACTATAAAAATGAAGAAGCGCTAGAATTTTGTTCGTATAAGATTGTAAGACATGACCATTCACCATAGCACCAGATTTAGATAGGCGCATTTTTTTTTTGGGGGGGGGGTAATTTGTTTTAGTTTAAACTAAACTAACATTGTTCCTGTTTATTATTGAAACGTTGAAAAAAAAGTTTGTTCCGACAACCCCCCTCCCCTCGAAAAAAACACACATACACGCTTAATAGTAATAAAAATATCCTTGGATTCATCTTTAAGGACATGTTCGAATATTTTACATTCTACTGCTGGAACAAACGTACACAGATGAAGCTGCAATACCATGAATTTATGAGAAAGAGCTTGAGAATATACATTCTGAACAGGATCAAAATGTTTAGATTTAATTTAAATTATGATAATGACGATGAATGGCTATTTAAAAGAGCATGATTCAGTATAAACCAAGAAAAACAAAATACTATCTGTGGTGATGCATGCATAGAGTTCATAGCCAAGTGATCAAGTTGAAGAGAAGTAGGTTCAAAAATGGACTACAGTACTTCAGCAATCTTTATTTACAATGCATCGTAATATCACTTTTCTTCAAATAAAGGATACTCATACGTATAAATTGGACGTGAGTGAAAGGCACAGACTGATCCTTAAATAAAGTGGGTATTACATAATACAGATTACGTAATGTTAGGACAACTTAATTGAAATGTCAATTTACATTTTGAAGAATAATAGAGTTTCCGTGCATTTCACTCCAGTTATTTGTACATTGATGGATGGATTAAGTAACCATCCACAGGACATGGAAAAAAAAACAGCATAAACCAAACAGTACTTACAGCTTGTGATATATTCTTTTAAAAATGTTATCAAATGAATTTATTTACTTGCTTTATTCAAAAAGATGTTATCGGTGACCTTAAGTAAGGGTTGACTGGGGCATAAAAACATGGTCATCCTTTCAGTTGGACTTCTCCTGTCCGGCAGTATAACCGTTAAATCGGATGCCTAGGGTGTAGGATGTAGGTTGGGTGTTAATAAGTAGCAACGCTTCAACCTCTAACATACATTAGTTTTCCGGTGGCATAAAGTTCACATTTCCTGCCCTTCATCTCGGTCAACATATTCTTTCAGAACAATACTTATTGTATAACTTGTGTTCGGCCGGATTGTAGTCCTGAATATCTCGAACTATTGTCTAGCTAGTTGTATAGATTCCTAATAAGTTATACGATTGGTTAGCCATGTAGTGTGTTCACATTTTAGACTTGAATACCTGTTGGTCTGTACCACTGCATGTGGACTATCAGTATCAAAGTGTCCCATCAAACCGGTATCCTGTGTTTCGGTAATGAAATGATTTAAATGAAACATTTTGTCTGTAAATTTCCAATTCATAAATAATGTAATCACACGAACTCTAATTGAAAATTGCATCTCCCTCATGTAAATGGTTTTATTTACGCTTCTGGCTCTTATGTTTTTATCCTCAGTCTTAAAAAGTTTTATATTTTCGTTTTTCAAAGCTTTGGTATCGGTATAATATAAGATGTGGTATGATCATCAATGAGACAACTAGCCACTAAGAGTTTACTTGATGCAGATTATACGCGTCATTCTCATGGAGATCGGTTTGTTGTACTGTTTTGTTTTATTACCAATGGTGTGGTTGGTACTTTGGTGGTACTTAGGGTACAATCCACACAGTAGCTAGTGCTTTGGTACTTACATACATTTTAAACACTACATTATGTCTGTCAATATTCAATTCATTAATCCATGTAACTACATCAAACCAATGTTTTCGTTTTCCAAAATTATATCTTATATTGTTCTGAATGTTGGTTTTAGATTGTTCAAAAAATCAGCTGTACAATTTAAAGTTTAAATTTTTTTTTTATCATTGTGGTCTTTTGTTGCTGTTTCATTTCCGTATACCCAATACATCTTTTTTCAAAATCAAATGTTTCATAATTTTGGTGTTCCAAATTTTGTTTTAGAACGTTCTCAATGAATGCATATATGTTGTTTCAGAAATACACGTCAAGTATACGGTATACTACTATTCATTCTTTTTTACAACATTTATGTTTTGTAATTCCAAAGGAATGTCACTTCTTAGGACACCTACGCAATATTTATGAAAATTGTTTTACCTTACATTTTTAAACAATATTTCTCCAAGAACGAGAAATAATTGCACTTGTTGCGATTCAATGATGATGTTTACATCATACTAATCAATTCAAAATACAAATTTACATATTTATTTGCTGTTCTCGGTTATGCATATACTATTTGGCACTGGACGTCACATAGCGTTTTATCAATCATATGATTGTGGTATGTGATACAGGGGGTAATGGTTTAGACTAGGTTATATGATATGCACTATATAATCGCAAATTAACTGAATAGTTTTGCATCTGAACTGTTCTTCATTTAACCCGCGTATGTTATATATTACTTAGTAAGGCTGTGATGGATTGATAAGAGCAATCTTTATATAGTCCCATCAGTGGCGGATCCAGAAATTTTCATAAGAGGGGGCCCACTGACTACTTAAGAGGGGGCCCGCTCCAGTCATGCTTCAGTGATTCCCTATATAATCAACCAAATTTTTCCCACAAAAGGGGGGCCCGGGCCCCCTGAAAAACCCTCTAAATCCGCCTCTGCCCATGATCAAATGTAAGTTTGAAATTAGGCCCATATAGTACATCATAATTATAATAATTGCGGCAAAGTTTGGCTCAAATCTGCCAAGTGGTTTTAGTGCATTATTGTTTTCAAATTAATCAAAAAAAGCACGAAGGCTGAACACAAACTAAATTGGCCAAAGTTTACACTGGTCCCTCTAGACACAAACTTAAATCCACGAAAGAACAACCACATACATATATATATATAAATATTTAATTTAAACATTCATACTTCATGAAAGTTAATTTCAACATTTTAATAATTAGTTTTTGGATTAGACACAAGAACTGCATGGGACATAATTCTGCAGGTCATTAACTTTCACAAAGATATTTTTACTGGTTGCATACGATGTACAACCACTTTTAAGTCCAAAGCTCCTTTATGGTACCATTTTTTAAAAATTGACTGCACGTCCTTCCACAAACGATTGCACAGCTTTTTCAGATATATTTGCTACTAACAAACATTCTTCTTTGGTGATAAGTGGCTTCGTTTTTCCTGAAAGATTGAGTTATTACATAATTAAAAGGCAAACACTGATGAAGTGTTCTCTGAATCATATAATTCGAACAAACCATGATAAGTAGGAGTCACGGTATGAAACTTTCCAGACAGAATGGAATG